CCACTCCTCGAGTTTGACAGCCGCCACGTAACGAGGGCAGACCTTCCGTTTGCCACCATTGGAGTTTTCCACATTCATCCCTCCATCAGCCATGGAGCAGCAAGGGAAGATTTTCAGAACGAAATCCTGCCACTCGTGACATTGTACCAATGTGACGCGATCACTGGAGACTCCAGCACGTCTTCGAAGACTGGATCAGGGTATGATCGAACATTCCCAGATGTGATGATGACATTCGTGTTTGGATGGGGCAAAACGAATACCCAGCAGGTTTTCCGGAAGGAAGAGATGTGCGCCAAGAGCGATGAACAACTGGAAGCCATGCGGAACGATCCCACGTCTGCCATTTTCGACTGTCAGGCCTCATCCGCGGAACGCTTCAAGCATGTGAGCAATGATATGTTCATGAATGGCTCACAAGATTTCGACTCGCACAGTCCGCTGATGGTATATATCCGCAGCAGATCTGCCGCCAGGCAACGCAACTTTGAGAGATCCAAGGAGCACCTCAAGAAGAAGCAATCCGAGTGCAATACGCTATTTACAAGGGGGCCTTGAGCCAAATGGTTGCGGGAGATCAATGGTGTAACAAAACAAACACAAAACAGACACAAATTTCTTTTGATCTCCAGCACAAGATATGAAATATCATTGGCTTCAGGGCCTTACGTGCCGTAGCCATACTTGAAAATGTCGGCCGTAGCCATCTATTGTTACAATGATTCATCCAAATTTGGCGCGGATGATTTGTCATGTGAGCAAGACGGAAAACAGTTTGTACTGATTCTGTGCGATACCTAGATGTGTCGAAAAGTGATGCACAACGCTATGTACATGCGGGACGAATGTGAAACTATTGATCTCTCACTGAATAGTCTTGTTTGCGGTGAGGATCAATCCGGTTGTAGTTCGTAGTGCTGATCGTGTGAGTCTCCTCGGTCAGTCGGATGAGTGCCAAAGGTGGCTGCTTCATCAGGTGACCAGCGGTACCACCGACGGCTGCTGTCAGATTGACTGCCATAGTCTCCATAATCGTTCCAGGTCGAATCGCCATAGTCCTTCCTGCGCTTTGGATGTACAAAGGCTTGCAGAGACCGCTTACAGGAATAACAGTCAATACAAGCCACCAGGGACAATCCATCCTCCAATCATCCACATTGGCATATTGGACTCTCTCCGGAATAGATCCAGGGACCAAATCAACGACCTCTACTACCACAGGTATTTATGTTAATCTCAAATCTGTGTTCCCCCTTTTTCGTTTTTAAAAGGGGTGTTTTGGGGAGCTTATATATCGTTTTCGTTAAGGTAATCATTTGGGTAAAGTCTCGCCTTGTTCATTGTTGGGCTGGGGGCCGACATTTTTTCATTTGAAGGAGTTAGCCCTTTTAGTAGTTATCAAGTTCTGGGGTGTTGGTGGTGTATTTGTTTTGTTGTTGTTTTCGCACTAATTTTCATTTATAGGTTAAAAGTTCAGTATAATTATAACATATAAGGTTGTTAAATGTTACAATTATATTATGGTTATACATTGAAAATCATTTAACTATTCTCTGTAACCAAAACCATTGAACAATAAAGATTTTATACCTTTGATATCATATTGGCTTTTCTTGTTGTCAATGTCGTTCTTCATGTTCTTAACTATATTGCTTAAAACGCTATCAATGTTTTTTCATTTACTTCATCATACTTACTCGATAGAGTGAAGAATTCATCTTTCTCATCTTCCTCATCTTCCTCATCTTCCTCATCTTCTTCATACTTTCTTGCTTTTATCGTTAACACAATTGATAATACCGCTTTAAACTCTAATTTGTCTTCCACTTCTACATGCATCAAGCTCAATAACCGTTCTTTTTGGTTTTTGACTAATCGTTCCAAACTTTCTATTTTAAATGGTAATTGTCTTTTAATAGCATAATCATTTCCAAATATTCTTTTCTTCCTCATACTATATTCTAGTCCATCTGTTTCTATTTTGTATCTGTTTTGAACTCTTTTCAAGGCTTCATTATGACAACTTTTAATTTTTATATACTCAGGTTGACCATATTTAAAGGATAGAATATTACTCAACACTTCAACAGGCAAATTGTTAATTTCCTTTTTTAATACTAAACCCTCAGGTAAGTTAGTCCAATTATCAACCATAAAATTGTTTTCCATCATTTTACCCTCGCTCATTTTTCTCTTAATATATAAGGTTTTTTTCTCTTTAAGTAGTTTTGGGTAGGGGTTGCTGGTCGGCTGGTCTGGGTTTCAGGTTTAGTTTAGATGTTTTAACCTTCTTGTTAGATTATAAAACAATGTTTAATCATATTAAAATTGAATATTATGATTAAACCATGAAATCATTGTTTCTGTTTTCTATAAATTTCAACTGTAATATGTTCGGTAGTAATGATTTCGTATCGTTTCATAGTCTGTTTGGTTTCTTCAACTGCTTGTTCAATATGGAATTGTAATGACGCTCTACTTGAAATCATATTCTGTTTAGATGATGAAGAAGAACAACAGTGGCAAATATTATTCTTATACATAATTTTCGAACTAACTTTTATTCGAACCTGTATTTCATCATCATACTTCATCATTCTCAATAATTCTTTTGGTGGTTTCAACGCATATGAAAGCGCTTTATCACCTTTCAAGCATTTATTGCTAATCAACGCATAATATCTACTTTCTCCTACTCGTTCAGTGTAAATAGACGGTTTCCATTTCCTTTGTAAGACCCTGAATGCTTTACAATGTTTTAGTCTTTGCCACCCTTCATTGCCAATCATATAAGAAGCGATGTTTAACAATGTTTCCACAGGTAAGCTAGCACAATTCTCAACCATAAAATTATTCTCTGACATTTTACCCTCAGTCATTTTTCTCTTAATATATAAGGTTTTTTCTCTTTAAGTAGTTTTGGGTAGGGGTTGCTGGTCGGCTGGTCTGGGTTTCAGGTTCAATTTAGACGTCGTAACCTTCTTGTTAGATTATAAAACAATGTTTAATCATATTATAAGATAATAATATTAACAAACAACACCAGCGATACAACCACTATAAGAACTCATACTATAATTACAACAATAATCTTCATATCCTTTTATTAATAAGTCTGTGTAAATCTCAATTAAATCACACAGTAAATTTCTCATATAAAAAGCACGATTTCTATTTGACCACCAACTGTTTAGGTTTGGAAAGTTCGACCCATTACGTTTTAAATTGTTTAAATCTTCAATGTTAAGACATTTTCTTAAAACGATACTAACTTCATTCTCATTATTCTTACAGTATGATTTTAATGCTTGATAATACATTTTTCTATTTTTAAACCGTTCTTTAACTTCTTGTTTATCAAATACTCGGTCAATGTGTTTTCTGTAATGTCTTATTTTTATACTATATTGGTTTTGTGTAATAACATTATTTTGCATTAGTTTAATAACTTTTAATTGAAATTCTGCTTTTTCCAGTCCTTCTTCAGGAATGTTTTTATCCCTCACAAAATGTTCTTCCGCATCCAACAAATCACTACAATTAAAACATGTTACTTTAATATAACCACCAATAAGATTACAAACATCAACAGGTCAAATATTTGCTAGTGCTATAACAGACTTACATTTTTATTTTTACAACGACAATTATCATAATTAAATAGTGGCATTTTTCCTCTTACTATATATATATATATTAATTTTCTTTAAGTAGGGTTTTTTTATGTTATGGGGTGGGGGTTTATGTTGATAACATTATTTTCTAACAATTTAATATAACAACTAGGTTTAATCATATTATAATTGAATAATATCATTAAACTACATTACTCATGCTTTCCATCCACCTATTCCATCCCACCATAACTCAATAATTCGCATCTGTTCATCTACTAGATTGTCTTCTTTGTTTAGTTTCCGTATCGCACCTGATAAGATACAGTAGTTAATAATCATTGTTTTAAACGTTCCATCTCGGCTGAACTTTTTACCACAGTCTTTTATGATGTCTTCGTCTGTTAGGTTTTCATACATTTCTTTCATGATGTCAAACCTAACAAATGAGTATATTGTCATCAAGTTTAATCCACTATTATCCCTAAACCTGTTAATGACATCTTTCCAGAATTCTTGAAATCCTTTATTTTGTTCCACTCTTCTGCTAATTTCGTTGCACAACTGTCAATCTCATCATCTTCTTCGTCTGATTGATAAGTCGGCAATCACTCCGACATTTTCTAAGTTCAATTCTTCAATCTTAATATTTCTCATTTTCTCACTTAATATTATAAGGTGTTATTTCTTTAAGTAGTTTTTATTTTATGTTAAGGGGCGGGTTTATGTTGATAAAATTATTTTCTAACAATTTAATATAATGGCGAGATTAAGAAAAGACCAAGTAATCAGCAACATCTATTACGACTTAGACGAGGGTTTCGGAAGCACACAAGCGACACACAAGAAGGCAAAGGAAGAAGACCCAGCAATAACATTAGACGATGTAAAGTCTTTCTTAAAGAAACAACCCAACAAACATTCAAAAAATATAGAGGTACTAATTCCTATACCGCTCCATTCGCATGTAAAATATTTAAGTAGTTTCTTTGCCGAAAACGTTGAAAGATAGTAGTTTTATACCTTTGATATCATATTGGCTTTGCTTGTTTCCAATTCTTAATTTTCTTAACAATGTTACTTAAAACGCTATGAATGTTATTTGTATTTACGTCATCACATCTACATGCTAGAGTGAAGCATTTATCTTCTTCATCTTCCGCATATTCCTCGTATTCCTCATCCAACACCCCAGCCTATGAAACTACGAAAAGTTTTAACCCCTTTCAAAACGAAAACAAACATCACCCCCACAAACACGAAATGAACCATGGCTGGAAACATGGATGACGAAAACGAATAAGATGGTTAGATTGTTGATGAACAACTACTCAAAGAAATCCCCCAACAATTGACCTTTACTCCCTGAAAAAAATTCGAGCCCAGGCTGTTGCTGGACCAGATGGCAGGCTTCGACGTGCGAAAGGCCAAGTGCACCGTTCCCACGGACCGGGAGGCCATCGAGCAGCAAGTGAAAGAGCTCTTCAAGGAGGCCGCCGGCGAGGGGTTCCAGCGAGTTGGACGGGTTGCTTTGGGCAGGCTTTGTTTCGTTGGGGTGGGTGTAGGGTTTGCTGGGTTTGTTCCGTTGTGGTTGGGGTGTGGGGGGGACGTTGCTTCGGGGTGTCGGCTTTGTCTTTCATGTCTTGGGTTGGTTTTTCATGCTCGGGTTTGTATAGTCTTTTCAGCTACTTTTCTCTCTGCCAGTTGCGAGGTTTGTTTGGGGGATGCGTGTTTGGGCCGAGGGTCTGCTTCAATGTTGACCCGGAAGCTGGCCAGCAGAATCTGTTGAGATGATTTCCGGGCAAAGCGATCCGGAACCCGAAAAATTGGTGGGTGCGCGTAATTGTCCGATCCAAACCAACGAGCCGGGGTTTTCCAGAAACGAACGACCCACGTGCATCGATCCCAGCAAATCTGTTAGGGGCTAGAAGTGATCCTTTGAACGGGAAATTCATTTTTCAGGGACTCTCTCACAGATGCCACGTTTGTGGGAGGAAGGGTAAGTAGAAAGGAAGAAAATTTAGAAAGCAGACCTTGTTGACTTGTATCGCCTTCAAGCATGTAATGTTATCCAACAATTGCGCGGACCTCACTTTTGGGCCATTTGAACTGAGTTTCCCTTGGAGCGGTGTGAAGGGACACATGCCCACCCCTGGCCAGATTTCACGATTTGTTTCCGTTCGTTGGTTTGGGGCTTGCAACTGGCTGAAGACAGAGTTGCTCTGCAAACCAGGTCGGCAAGGAACGGAAAGCGCGTTGAATCACAAAGGAAAGAAAAGGTTGAGCTTGAGGCAGCCGAATGAGCGCGCAGTGTTTTCGTTTGGGTGTCGGTGTCCAACAACTTCGGCGGCGCGCAGCACGGCAGGTTTGACTTACTCTCGAGCATAAAAGTCTGCTAGTTTTTAGCCGTCCTTTTTCCAGACAAGCGCTGACAACTCAAGCTGCGGCCGCAACGAATGTCTGGCCCTAAGCCGACGGAAAAAGCGCCCTGGGTCAAGCCAAGAATCTGCCGCGGCACTACAGCCAAACACGGCCAGAAAACCATGGAAAAATGCAGCGTTTCGCGCCCAAAAGAGGCAGGAGCGGCGCCGAACCGAATGGTGATGCGGAGCAGCCGGGCGACCAGAAGCGCGACCGCAAGCGCTAAAATTTGCTGTCTTTTTCACCCAACGACCAAAGCGAGCGCACGTAAAACGGCGACGGGGCCGGACCTGTGGGGCCGACAGGTTTCCAAGACGCGCGCACGAGCTACAGCAAGAGGAGCATGCAGGCAAAGGCGAGGGAGGCCACCAGGCGGAGGCCACCAGGCGGAGCCAAAAAACACGCGTTTTTGCACCTGGAGGGCAAGACGCGGCCCGAAACACAGCGCCAAGCGCGGGATCCAAAGGCCAAGACGGCAGCCGGAGCACCAAGAACCGCTAGCGACCACGCCGCCAGGCAACCACCACGCGATTGCCACGCACCTGCGCCCTCAAAAAACGTGGTGCAACACAGCTAAAAAGCGCCCGGAGGCACCGACGGAGCAACGTCCGAGACAGCAAAACGAACGGCTAAAAAATAGCCGTCTTTTCCAGCCTGCGATTTCTGCAAATCTCCTGCTGCAGCCGATCTCCCCCCCAACAACAAACAACTCCTGGCGCTTCAAGAAAAGCGATTTCTGTCATGAACATAAACCCTCCAAGAGAGCTTCTTGTAGAGGAAGCTTCTTTTGGGTGTCCTGCTAAATTTGACATTCCAGGGTTTGGGTTTTTGACCTTGGCGCAGCAATGGGACGCGGGTTCAAGGATTGGACTCACTTCACGGGCCGACGGCTGTTTTTTCCGGGTAACTTGTTTTCCAAACACCGGCCAAAAGGCCAAGTTGAGGAGATGGGTTTGGTGGCTTGACTGGGATGTCTGTCTAAACGAAGAACTCGTTCTCTTTTTCATTTGGTGGAGGGCTTCCAACTTGATCTCCTCGAAATAGGCCCAAACCTTGCTGGCTGACAAACCACGCCTCTGGGTCCCAAGGCAATTCTGGGAGCTGAAAGTGGCACCGCATGGAAGGCAGAGGGGTCTTTTTGCCACCTAAGCCAGGAGCATCGGCCAATGTCTTGGCTGCCGCCTGAAGGTGTGGACGAGGGAGAGGCGGGCAAAGCTTCGAAAACATGAAAAACCCAGCGACGTCCAAGAAAACGAAGTCCGTCGAAACCGCAACGCAACCCCAAAGAAAGGACTCCTCCACGCTGGGATCTGAACCTCGGCTTGAACTTTCTCGAGCGAGCTTGTTTCTCCTCAATGGGTTCACTCTGGTTTGAAAGGGGTCACGCCTCTAAGTTAGAGGCACTTTGCCACCCCAACGAGACGCATCGTTCCGATATCCCTTGAGTCGCAATTTGGATCCGTTCGCGCCACTTGAAACTATGGGAACCATTGTTTGTTGGCATTCCAGGCGAACCATCATTCCAGGGTTGCTTAGGTGGTGGACGGACGGATTGTAGTTTGGATGGTCACCAGGCCCAAACCTCCCCCCAGCGCTTAGGCATACGCCACTGTTGCCTTGGGAACTGTTAACTGCCCATAAGCTGCAGAAAAAGGGTACCCTCATTCCAACCTCTACTGGAGGACCCCGGCCTTGGATTGGACGCCATGTTTTCTGATTTGCGCCTCCTTTGGCAAGAAGCTGCTTCCCTTTGAAAGAGGCGCAACACTTGCTAATCTTTGGAAGGGTGCAGTTGATTCTTTTTCCCTTACCGACTGACCTTTACCACAGACCTTGATGACCTTTGCCACTGACTTGCTACTGATTTGGACCACTCCTGACCTCTCAGCACCCAGGGCCAAGTTTCACTGCACACTTTGCTGTTTCACGCAAACCGCCATATTTCTGACCTTCTCCCTATTCGGACCCGTCTCCTGTCAGGCACATTCGGCTCATTTGCGACGGCCCCTGACGAGGCGCCCTGACAACTCCAACTCGGCAGGTGCTACGCAGTGATGCTGAGCACCCCTGTCCGTCCGGTCAGCCGTCTTTGTTCACAGCAACTGCTCCGCTTCAAAGATGTTGGGAGGCTTCCTCCCCAACGCGGCACCGGGTCGATTATGACAGTGGAAAAGAGCAAGTCAAGATTCACAAGAAGTAGCGCTGGTTTCTAGCTGAGCCAGGAGATCGGGCAGAGGGCTTCTCAATCCTACAATGGCGGTTCTACAGAGAGTGGGGCGAATTTGACCTGGATCCCCAAGCTCCACCCAGCGCTACCCTAGCAACCTTCTACCGCAACTGGGAATCCAATGGATGGCAGGACGTTGGAGCCACGCCGCAGATATTATCCAAGTGATCCACCTCGCCCTCCTCCTTCGACACCTCATCCCGAAGATGGAAATGATGTGCCATGCGCTCATCAATGGCAGCTCCCACTGATCACACAGCTGCCTCATGGCAGCCTCGGACTCGCATCAGCTTCAGCTTGCAGGGGACATTTACTTGGTAAACCAGCAAAACGATTCCCACGGCTAGGGCCGCTTATGGTAGCTCCATTTCCGGCGTCTACGTCAACTGCTCATGGCATGACAGACCAGGCTCCGATGCAACCAGCTACAGGACTTTTCTCCCGGCCCGGCGTGTGGTCGCACCACCACGCTCAGTCCGGACGCAAGCCTATCGGCGTGCGATGGCTAGATACCAATAAAGGAGACCCAGCGCTTCTCATCGACAACAACTTCGCGAGGGGACGCTCCAATGGTTCTGTTTTCTGCCACCCTGACAGTGCCAGGTGCTCGTGCGCATTTCATGGCGTTTGGAGATCAAGAAGCCCTTCAGCGTTTGCATGATATCCTCAAGACTGCGTATGAGTTGAAGTGGCTCGGATCTTTGGGAGACGAAGTCTGCGATCACTTCTTGAATCGTTTGATCCGTTGTGGAGTTCACCAAGTGCCATTTTCTTGGAACCTGACAGACGGCATGTTGATCTACAAGTTCAACAGCTTGGCATGGCTAGCGCAAAGGGTGGTGAGACACCTGATGTGAAGAAGTCTGTGGATGTGCAGATGATGGAGGCCAACAGTCCACTTCTTCCAAAGGACATGGCATCCATGTATCGGTCGTGTGTTATGCAAGCAGCGTATCTGGGCCAGGACAGGCCTGATGAGAGTCATGCTGTGAAGAACCTTTCAAGGAAGATGGTTGCACCGACTGAGGCATCTCTGCAAGACTTGAAGCGGCTATGCAGGTATTTGGTCAAGAAGGCTGATCTTAGCCAAGTGTTTTCGAGACAGGCAAAGCCATCGAAACTGCAAGTCCAGGTCGGCTCCAACCACTACGACAGGTATGATCGCTTGGTGTGGCGAGCACGTTTTGAAGCACGCAAGCAACCTGCTGCCCTATCAACCGGCGAGTCAGAGTACTACGCTCTGGTGAAGGGTGGATCAGTAGGACTAGGGTTGCAAGCCTTATTCGAAGATTTTCAAGTTCCCATCTCTGTTGTAGTAGAATCAGACGCTACTGCTGCTAAGGGTACTGCAAATAGGATCGGATTAGGCAAAGCTAGACATATCCAGACCAGATATCTCTGGCTCCAGGAACGAGTAGCAATGGACCACCTTAAGGTCATTCATGTCTCAGGCAAGCGCAACCGCGCCGACATGCTTACAAAGAGCGTGCCTGGTGTACAGATGGAAGAGACTTTGCGTAGCCCATGAGGGCTGCTCCAGCAGCAAGGAGGAGTAATAACATTGTTCCTCCGTATATCCCCAACACGCCTGTGCAGGTTGTGCGACTCTGTGTTTTGGCTCAAGTAAAAGTCCGCTCCGCAGCGGACCTAGAGCTGAGTAAGATACTTTTCACGTACCCGAGTCATCAGGCGGACTATCTTGGAATCAATGATTGAAATTGGTGAATCCTCAAAACACGCAGTCTCTCGGGTTGAATCAAGCCAGAGCGGAAACATGGGGAACCCTGCAACATTGCACAGAAATTCTTAGGACACATATAAATGTATATGAGTATTCCTTAGAACACGACGCCGTCTAATCTTTTCTTTCACACATGTCCACAGGTAAGCCTCGACAACCGGCTGAACCGGCTGTGGCGGATGGATCCCCTTGACAGCTTCAATGCCTATATCCGGGGCGCTTTGCGCGAGAACGTGATCACGCAGATTGGCAAGGAGCCTGGCTCGTTCCCCGATGAGAAGAATGGTGCTGGCCATGTGAGCGCCAAACACCGATCCCAAAATGGGTGAGAGTCCCGTGTCCCTCCAAGCAGAAAAGGGTGCCGCATGCCCATCTTAGGTGGTCCGGCTTCTGCCTAGTGCTCTTAAACCAGTAGAAGCCATCTTTGGAAGCTGATTGCATTCTTGGACAGAGGCGGTTCGGCTTCTGCCTAGTGCTCTTAAACCGGTAGAAACCATTGTTAGGAGCTGAACGTATTTTTGGACATAGGTGGTTCGGCTTCTGCCTAGTGCTCTTAAACCGGTAGAAACCATCGTTAGGAGCTGAACGTATTTAGGTGGTTCGGATTCTGCCTAGTGCTTTCAAACCGGTAGAAACCATCGTTAGGAGCTGAGCGTACCCCTGTTGTTTTCCCCTTTTTGAGGAGCTGTACGTGCCATGGCGCACGTGTCTCACGGCCTTCCTGCCCATGATCTTCTACTCCTTGGTGAACGTCCTGGGCTGCGACAACGGGCCCTGCGAGACCTCCTTCAAGCTGGCTGGGTTCAGCCGCTTGATCGCACAATTCGGCAGGGCTCGCCCACGAAACTTCGGGTAGGGAGCGCAAAAACGAGCCTTCTTCGTTGTTTTTTTAATTTCTGGGCGCCGGACAAAGGCTCGTCGGCTTTTTTGCCAAGAGAGGCCTTTTGGCAGGTTTTCGCCTTTTGCGGCGCGGACGCTTCCCAACGTTTTGGACACCGAAACGGAACACTCGCGCGAATCCAACAGACCCATTGAAGTAGGTGGTTCGGTTCCACTTAACTTAGCTTTCACTTTCAACCAGGAGAAATGATGCTTTTTGTGGGGTGTCTATATCTGGGCCAGTTATTGCAAATGCTTCGCGCTGCCCTTGAGTATCAGCCAGATTTTTTTGGTGCTTTTTGTTTGCCTTGAAGTGATGTGTTTTCCGAGTACGCCGGCTGGTTTCCAAGATGTACGGTGAATCCAATGTTCGCGTTTCTTGGTGAAAACGTGCCTGAGGTTTACTTGCAGCACGGGGGTTTTCCATGGGGTGTAGCAGCATAGCGGGGCGGTTTGGCCTCGAAGCTGCTCGAACGAAAGAGCAACTCACAGCAACGTGCGCAGGGCAACTTGAACAGAGGAACCTTCACAGAGAGACGCATGCAGATTGCAAGTGGCAGTTGTACGGGGTATGGCTTTCGTGCGTGTGCGCGAAGCATCCTGGTGGGGGCGGGAGGCTCAACGATTCTTCAAAACATTGGGAATCGTCCTCTAGTTTTCTCGTAGAGGAACCTTCATTCACAGGGGAAGGGATGAAACTTCTACATTGCAGTACCCGTTCCTTTCGCGATCGTGCGCGAGTCGTTCTGATTCCTCAGCTGTTGGATCAGACGACGCATCGTTCTGTTTTCAAAGTGTGGCGTCGCCTCAGAGTCGATTTGCCGTCTTTGTTTCCAGGGGGTGGGGAGCAGGTTTCGGGTCACAATGGTGGCTGTGAAAGCCTGGGCGGCGTGGGCATAAGGTATGGGCTTGGTGTTCGTAAGGCCCGCGTGCCCTCTTGGCACAAACATGTCATTTTGAATCCATTTTGGGGAATTGTTGGCATAGCTGCTCCGAATCGCTAAGGTGACACTGGAAAACTACAAACAAGATGCAAGCTGGAGAAAGCGATGTTGGGGCTGGGGCCGAGGCGAATACATTCCCAGCTCTGTACATCTGTCCAGTGTTAGAACCAAACATGGTTGAGTTGCGGCGCTAGGCTTCCCAGAGCCTACCTGAGGTTGTCTTAGGGAGCCCAGAATGGTGGGTTTTCCTTTTGTTTGCTTCTTAAAGCCAGGTTTCCCCGGGTGGTTCAATCTGAGGCTCGGTGCGCCAATACATGATCGTTCAAAGCATCGGCTGGGTGCTGTGCATCGTGTTGGCCTTCCCGTTGACCTATCCCACATTGCTGCAGATGCTCGGGCCAAAAGTCAAACGCCAGGCGATTTCCTCTGGCCCTTTTGGTGTTTTGACTTTTAGACTTCAAGACTGTTTGACTTGTTTACTTTTTTAGGTCTTTATGCTTTGAGACTCTTGAGTTGCCTAGACTCGTAGAATCTGTACTTGGATTGATGACATGTTTTTTTTTTTTTGCGGGATCAATGAAGCACACAGGATGCTGAAGTGCGCGTTGTCCAGTGGCTGTCCGGGTTCGGTGCAGCTCTTTCTTGCGTTTCTTTGCTGCCCATTGGCCTATGTCTACTGCTACATTTGCGGGAGCCTCATCTGGGCCTCGTTGGTTTCGCTGGTGCAGAACTACTCTCCTTTCCAGCTGCTGGTCTTCATGTTGGTCATGACGTTGCTGGTTGCTCAGGCAGGTGTCTTCAGTTTCCCCCTGTTTTTGCATCTGCAAGGGCGGCATGCATTTGTTTCATTTCACCAGTCAAAGGCGACATCCAGCAACCCCTGTCAGGTCATGTGGCTTTTTATCAGGAACTCGCATTTGAAGCACTTGCCGAGTCGATGTATCAGGCGACAGACCTACCAAGAAGTCAACTCCGGATTCCTCTTTGATTGTGCCTAAGGCGTCAAAGATCGTGGACCCGTCAATATGGGTTTGTGTCAAAATAGGAGAACCCACTTAAAACCATCCAAGGGGTTCCCCTTAAAAAAGAGACACCTATCAAACATATTGTGGGTCGCGCAGATTTTGTTTCGGACCGCAAGGCAGCCACGCACACACACACACACAACATCACACAACCGCAATTTCCCCCTGTGGGTGTTTGACACATCACCTTTTGGGCAAATTTAAAGTGAATTTGCATTTGGTGACTCACATAGAAGGCTCATCCCAGTGTGGCGATCCCACAGAAAGGGTGTGGTTTTTTGGCTCCAAAATTGGGGCTTCGAGCTGGTATCCCCGCGGGACTTCCAGAGTTGACCTTCGCTTGCAGAGAACTGCGGTGAAGCCGTAGGCCTTGCGAATGTGAAAAGCTCGAGCAAATTTCCATCACACATGGCTGTGGCTCAAAAAAAAGGAATTCCAAAATGGGTTGCCCTGGTCAGTGGAAACGTGGACCAAAACCTGCGGAGCCAGCCCCTCCGATCGTTTGATTTTGAGAACCACACCCAACTTCAGCTTCGTCCTTACTTTAGTCCGCATAGGACTTGGGACTCTACTTTCACCCTGTCTCATTTTCTGGGACGGGGACGGAACCCCAGCCAGGCTTCCGGCTTCCTTAACCAAGGCCTGGGGGTGGGCTCATAGGACCATTTGGACGGAAGTCGGCCACACAAGAAGGGTTTCGTTTTTTTTTTTTCCGCTTTCTTCTCATTTTGATTCTTTGGAGATTATTAGACCATTGGCACGTCGGGCGATAGGAGTCTTCCGTTGGGAAATCGGCCATACGATGGGGATGCCTATGTGCTGGTGACTCAAATCACCGGGTCCGGCTCGCTAGCGCCTCAAAGGGTTTGACATATCACATATCAGTCACAATCAAAACCCGTTCGAGAGGAGTCTTCCCATGTAAAGAATCAACCAATTTGTCAACTCCCTCACGAACCTTCACTTGATGGAAAGGTAATCATTGTAGCGGACCGATTTCTATTTTGAGCCACGCCTATATTTTTCTATACTATATATATATATGTATACAGCTAGGTGTTACTTTTGATTAGCTGGAAACCAGAAGGAGAACCCGGCCTGACTCTTGTCTCAGCCAACCATATGGGTTTGTCTCAAAGTAGGATTCGGGCTCCCCTTGATGATGGTATGGTTGTCCTTTTGGCTGTCCTTCAGACCAACTTCCAGAAGGGAGACCCGAAGAAAAGACATTAACATGTTGCTACTTCAGTGTTGCATGGACCCGCTGCGTTTCCAAGGGCTCCAGAGCCTACATCGATACCCCCTCAAAACAAAACTTGAGGTCTAAGAATGGTAGGTATAATTGTGGTTCGGTTTCCCTTTCAAACTATCCGAAGTGCAAGACTTTCCTCGATTGAAAGAACCTTGTCGGGTCATGTCAGGCTTACATTTGAGGTGTTGGGTGCTCCGCGCTTGACTTGATTGTGCATGTCTCGTCTTAATTTTGGCTTCAGCTGGACAAGCCAACCCTTGTGCTCTGATTGGATTCACGTGTTTCGATGCGCGACATGTTCCTAGACCAAGGTCTTCACAAGAATGGCATCTCAGGTCGGTGAACTGCAAATTCAGCTACTCCGCACTTCATCCAACACTTCATCCATACGAATCTTCGATCTACACGCATTGAGACTAGCAATGGCGCTCGCTCGAGGCGGGGCCGAAGGGGCCAGGGCGCCTTCGGCATGGAGCCATGGTGCCAGTGAAGTCGGATTTCGGGATACGCGAGGGCCGTAACTGGAGTTTCTACAGGCGCCATCTTGTCATGGGAGGGGCAGCGAGTCACCAACTTCCGGTACACAAATCGGTGGGGTGGAGGGGGGGCACGCCTTGATGGTGTCCAGTGGGATAACTTAAGGTGTGTACAGTGGCTCTGAGCAATATCTCAGGCACTCGGCCGAGCGGGGGCAAGGAGTTAAGGGGTGATGGCTCATGGGGACCGGTGTTTTACCAAGGACTGCTGGCTTCCAAATGTGTAAAGATCACTGGTGGATACAGGACAAAGAGCCAACACTTTGTCCGGAACCGCTCAAGAAACCACATTGCCACAACGTTTGCCCAATCTAAGACCTAGTGAGGGGCAGTTTAAGTTTTCTGCTTTTTCCTCTCTCTCTCTCTCTCCCTCTTGCTCTGCCTCTGTTGTTTTTTTCAGAAGGACGCCGGTGGGGGTTGCAATTGAGGACTTTTCCAGTGTGCAGTCTTTGGGGGTGTTCTCTGGTCAGCAAGTCTCCTTGTGGTTTAAGCATATGGCTGAATTTTGTGCTTGGAGTTGCATGCGTTGGACATTCTGCAGTCCTTTCTCGTGGATTGTTGGGGAGAATTCTCCCATGCTTGAATCCCGGCATGACGCGGTTCTCCCTTTAGCGGATCCACTCACCTGATAGCAGGTAACCAAGGGATTGCCACCCTTAAACAACCAGAATCTGGCGAAGGGTGTCCCCTATAGTGGCTGGCCTGGGATTTGGGCTTGGTTTTCAACCAAGGCTTAACTCCCCAACTCCCCAACTCCCCGGGAGGCCGGGGTTGGGGTTTGTGGCAGGTGACCTTGCTCGGGGCTCAGCGTGCTGGCACGAACTTGGCGCGAGCTCGAGTCACAGAAAGGGCCTCTTGGGGGTGGCGCGTCAGGTAAGCTGTGGGCGGTAACGTGATTTAGATTTGAACTCCTTCTTGTTGAGCTTAAATGGAAAACCACCCCCAAACCACCGACTCGGCTCCAAGCCCCGGTGGGTGGGGGAAGCTGCAAACTGAGGTGGGGGACTGAAGATTCGGCGCTGGAATAGCTGTTTTTGCGCACGCCCCACATGTAAATCAGGTCCCTTTGGGACGCATACTGAAGGAAACCTGCATGTTTAGGGGTCTGACAAGCCCACCGCGAGTTTCCTCTGGATCGGGTTTTTGGGTTCCTCCCGAAATCCCTGCAACATACTCCCCTGCAGGACTTTGTTGGGTTCCATGTCAAATCATGAATATGAGCTTGTCTCAAGCTAGGATATTGAACCCATGGACTTCTTTAAGTGACCCCACAAAGGGTACCAAACATCATGACTTGATCACGTAGCTCCCTCCGCCCAGAGAAGTTGGTACCAAGCTTCCTTCAATGAACCCCCCTTTTCTGCCTTCAAAGTCACTGACATGGAGGCTATCGTGTTCTTTAGCCGGGAATCTACGGCTATCTGTCGCAAGCGGGTGACAGGAGGAAATACACGACGGACGACAACAAAAAGGAAATCCAAACAGTTGCCGAGATTCGGGCATGTGCCGGGAAATATTGTTGGACACTGGACACACGGTTTTCGGTTTTCCATAGCCTAGCTGAAGACGGGGCACCGAACCACGGGCGCCCAATTTGAGCCAACGCAAGTTGCACGCCTCTGCGGGAAGGACACGGCAGGGCGCCGTGCGATGTTCTTGCCATGTGGCCGTCAAATATTCACACCTCACCTTTGGGAAATGCGCAAAGGGTGAGGTTCCTTTCGGGAAACCAACTAGCAGGGATACAGGGGGAACCAGGGACACGGGAGGAGGGAATCCCCCCCATATCCCCGGTCCCTCCGTATCCCCGCTTGTTCCTTTCGAGAAACGATGCCCCTTGAACCAAAAAGTCGGGAAGCACTTGGCAGCAGCGGAGCAGCGGAGCCTCACTTCAAGTCTGTTCTTTGGCCTCACCCTCCAAGGGTGGTCAGTTGGGACCCAAAACGAGGCACACACAATTTGCAATTCAGGTGCAAACGGAAAAGCCACCCTTGGAGGGTGCTGGCATGGCTGTGTCGTGTCTGGTCAGAGGTCCAAGGGAAGTGCTGCAATGCGCAGCGGACCTGAATCTTTGGGTTTCCGCCCAGGCGGCTTCCTTTTTGGCTTCTAACCGGAGCGGGCGAACTTCTTTGGGATTTCTTTTTCAGACGTGGGGCCTTTTGGAGGTATGGACTTTTGCATTCCTTGTTTTTGCCACAAGTGTGCCTGTGCCTCACAAACCTCCAGTGGTTTTCCTGGGTGTGCTGAAAAAGGGTACCCTTTCCTTGGTTTTCTTCGAGAAGCGGAGCGCCCCATTTTCGTAGAATCCAAAAATCCAAAAAGAAAAGCCACCGTCTCTTACACTCCCTCAAACTAACATGGAAGCTCCCAGAAGGCCTCTGTAAATGGACCCAAGTCTGCCAAAGGGGTCCTGAGAGCTTCCATGTTAGTCTAGGGGAGGGTATGACTTTGTTTTGCTGGGTGTCCTCACCTCACGCCCCCTATCTGAGGAGATTGCGGAGGTGCCGCGCTGCGAGGCCCGCTGGGATCGCTGGGATGGCAGCGACTCTCGAGACTTGAAGCCGTTTGAAGCGCTTGGAGCCGAGCCACGAAGATTCCTTTGGAGACATATGGCTGTGGTTGTCAAAACCGTTTTGGGATCAACCATTTTGGTTGGATTGGGTGAATTCACCACCCATTTTAGAACCTATTTTAGTGGTTGGATTGGTTGATGTTCACTGGGGTACGTTTTGGATTTTGACCCATGGCCACGTGAGAGGTGAGAGAAGTCCAATTCGCTGCAATTGCAAGGATACCACAGGGACGATCAACTTGTTGTTTAGGTGGAGACAGTTGCATGAGCAGAGGGAGAGAAGTCCAAGTTGTTTCAAAGCGGATACCACAGAAAGGATGCCACAGCCACTCATCATGTGTGGGGACTGACATGGGCCACCCCATGATTTCTTGTCTTCCCTCACTGACTCAAGGCGAATCGGTCTTTTGGTGGCCATTTTAGCTTCCTGTGTTGGGTCCATGTTGAGTCATGGGCACAACAGGTGACCGGCTGTTCCAAACTGGGCGGAGTTTCAGGTGGATCGAGTTCTAGAAAGCTCGCCGCACCCGTCTTCCTTGTTAGCTTGGACTTTGCCGCACTTGTTTTGTTAAGAACAAGGAAGACATGTCAAAGGCTGGCAGGCGAACTCTGGCCATGGAACCATAGTAGTGGGGGGCCATGGGGGGAAAAAGCAGCTGGGGGCCTGGAGTGACTGCAGATTCACCTGGCATGGGATGGGTCTTGAGGGAGAATTTTCCTTGCAGACATCCAACCCTTATGGGGTTGCATGTAAACTTGCAGGGGAGTAGCCTGACCTGAATTGCTGTCCTTCAACCCGCGCTTTATGAGGTTTGGCCAGCACATTCAGCGCCCGCATTTTCGCATGTCCAGAAAGTAGCAGTAGGCCCTTCCCATTCCCTTAGGGGGGCGGTTCCTGCTTTTTGGGGATTCACCTTTTGGCTTCCCTCGAAAACCATCCAACAAGCTGTACCCGAGCTCGCTCCCGCCACGCGAGGCCTCGCCCGAGCTGAGCCCGAGGTCAGATTTGTCGTCAGGGGCCTTGGCGACATTCTTGGTTTCGGAAATCCCAAACCCAGAGAAAACATGGTGTGTTCTAGGGGTTGATTCCATTTTCCGTTCTTTTCAACCATCGTTCTTTTCAAGAGCCGGTCGCCGTGTCCCCTGCAAAGCTGATGGTTTTCTGGAAAGACTCGGATCCCTGGGTTCAGAATGGGGAAGTGCGCCCTTGTGCCTTCTTTAGGCTAAAGAAGCAGCTTTTGTTTGTGGTTTCAAAGGAGAACCAACAAGAAGTAGGCATTCTGGGGGACCTAAGAAAAGAGACTCCCACATGGAAAGTGACCGTTTGGATGAAGAATCCCAACCATGGCGGTTTGCTTTTGAGGAGGTTCTTCGCTCACCTCTATTCTCTATTTGATTTTTACCAAATCGCACCGACAATTTCTAAACCACCGGCGCTTGGCACTTCATCACCTATGCTGCCTAAGTCACCACTAAAACAAACACAGAAGGCACCATGTGGGTGTGGCTCAAAATTACCGAGCCAGGGCCAACGGTTTTCGTCTTTGGTTTCCATTTCCCATGCCATTTTGGTCTCCATGTATTTGAGCCACAGCCCCTTCTCAGCCGCCAGCATCTGCCCCGCCCGCCCTTCTCTGCAGTCCAGGCCTGACTCACCTCGATCTCTAGGCGCGGTGCCGCAGCTCGGGTCGGACATGTCGGCGGAACAGGGCGGGACGCATCTGCTCCTGGAATTCACGATTGGCTCGCCGATGTTTTTTGGGCAAGCCCCCCAACATGTGCTTTTTTTCTTGGGGGGGACCCTTCAAAAGCAACCGAAAGCTTCTGGTACCACGCTTCAAGAAAAGACACACCCAGCCCAACCAAGCGAAAGCTTTTGGTACCACGCTTCAAAGGCAAAGAAAACCCGGCCCACTCTTGGCCGAGTTGAGGAAGCCTTCTTGCTTCACCCCAGGACAGCTGAAATTGGAGCACATGCCCTTCTGGTATCCCGAGGAAAAGACATCGTTACACTCTGATCATCCGCCTCTGGTTTAGAAGCCGACCCGCTTTCTTCGGCTCCATGGCAGTGGTGTGTTTGAGTGCGTCTGTTTGAGAGTCTCTCCTTTGGCGTTTTTGAGAGGAACCTGCTTCCATTCCCCCACTTTTTGACACTCATTTCGTGGCCAGAGGTGGGTCTGCATCGGGAGGAGCACCTTGTTCTCGCGAAAAAATGCCGGGAACTTCCGGAAGCGGCGCATGTTGCCCAAGGGGAGGCGATTTGGAGGAAGGGGAAGAGGGGGGGCGCGGCAGCCCGCATGTTAGCAAGAACCATGTGAGCCACGTGCTCAAGACCCGGCTAGATGGTTATGTCAGTAAGGGACAATCCCCTGGCCATAAATAGCTGCGGATAGCCGCCTTCTTAATTCTTCACATGGCTCTGGGTCAACCATTTGAATACCGGGTTTTGATTGTGACTCGTGTGGTACCGCGACCAGGCGACCAACTCGGGGTTATGAAGAGCCGAATCGCGCGCTGACCGTGTGGCAGTGAGTCCCCTCCAAAAAAACTGTGGGGCTTCTCAAAAGGATGGCTTTTGAGCCAGGTTTTCTTGGCTGGTATCTAAAAAGAGAGCAAAAGGAACCACCAATTTTAGGGGATGGGCCCTTGAAAAGCACCCACATTCTTCGCCCCCGAAACATGCTGCTTTCTTCTATCGGCTCACTGGGTGGGCATAAGTCCCAGTTGCCCAGCGGTGCCATTTTGTCAACTTTTTGGTTGGGGTAAGGGTTCCCCTTTAAACTCAACCAACCCAAAAAAGCGGTGCCGATTTCCCGTCTAAACTCAACCAACAAAAAAAAGAAAGGCCGAGTCTCTTTTTTCCCATGCCCGCTGGGCATCTGAGTTGTTGTTCAGGAGGCTTTGAGAGGAAACTCACAGGCTACTCATCAGGCTGGCGCCTGCATTCCGCCGACCCAGCGACCTCTCTGGTCTTAAGGTAGACAAGAGTGGAATTCTAGAGTGTTCAGTTTGTTTTAGTCAAAAGACATAGGCACTCTAGAAACGTGCCGATGTGACGAGAACCAGGAGCGGACGACAGCCGCATTTCTGTGGGTGTCTTTTTGTTTTCTGTGAGCAAGGCTCCCGGGCTTCGCATTCGCCGCGCTTGGCGCATTCGAATGCGCGATGCGCGAGGTCATGCCAGGAGGGCGTCATGCCAGGAGGTTCGTGCACGAAGATGTTGGACATCCAGTCACGAGGGTGATGCTGGGGATGTGGATTAATTTAAGAGGTAGAGAGGTTAGAGATTGCTGGAGGTTGGAGAAGTTGAAGGTTGAGGAAGTCAAAGGTTAGAGATATGTTAGAGGTTAGAGATGAGGTTAGGGGGGGTCAGAGCAGCTCGAGGTGAGAGGCCCTCCCGCGACTTGCCCTATCCAAGAACGCGATAAGAAACTCGCCGTTTGAGGATGGCAAACCAACCCGAAAAGGCCACGGATTTCCCCCCAAAACGACACCCTCGGAGTGCGAGGCCACGGCGCCCGTTTTCGTAGGTGGCAGTTTTCTCTTATTTTTTCCCCAACAGCTGAAAGCTAGATAGGCTCCACCAGGGTTCACCAGGGTTCCACCAGGGTTCACCAGGGTTCCACCAGGGTTCCACCAAGGTTCCACCAGGGTTCCACGGGCGGTCCACTAGGGTTCCACCAGGGTTCCGCGAGGTTCTGCGAGGGCTGTGGGGTGGTGCGAGCACTAAAAAAGAGCTCCGCATGCTGTTGGGGATATCACCCGAGCTTATTTGATCTCTGCCAGATGGCGACGCGAGCGGGGCGCCTATGAGCGAGCGCGGATGGGGTTGGGGCGGTCTTTGTTGTTTCGGCAGGGAAGAGAATCATTTGGCTGTGGGTCAAAACCAATGGTACCATTTTGGGGTAGGTGCACCACCCATTTTAGTCTGCTTCAGTGGGGACTGGGATGTTCACTGGGGGTACGGGATTTTGACCCATGCCCATTTGAGTGTGTTTTGCTTTAGGGGACTCCGTTCAGGAGGGGACCTTCAAAATGGTTGGCTTGCTGTTGGTTTCCATTGACACCCACCGAAAATGGGGTACCCTCAAAACAGGCACACCCATTTTCTGAAGCCACCTTTGGCGGGCCCCCACCTCGCAAGTTAACTAAACTGGTTGGTTGATTAATAAATTAATATGGGGTCAACATTATTTGGAGTAATGGTGGGGAGGGGGGACACCCCTCCAACAGTGGGAGCTGATTCCCCACATTTCTGCCAGTGATTTGGTAGATGACCCCATTTTGGGTTGAGCCATGCAAGGGCACGGGAGAACCCGAGGTTGAACAGCCCAGTGGGGTGTGGTTGGAACCCCGTTTTTTATTTTTGGGGTTTCAAGGGAAACCAGGAGACTGTTGCCATTTTGAGGGTTCCATACTCTACTTTGAGACATGGCTAAATCCGCTTTAATGCCGGTTTTCTTGCCTTGCACTGGCTCCAGCGCCTTGCGACGTGATAGGCTGCCTGGTTCTGGCAAGCCCATGTCTCTTCCCCAGACCGTGCGCAGATCTCTGGAGGCCAGGAAGGACGGCTCTGTCCAACCGGCTTCAAAGTCTTCGAAGTATAGTTCAGGACATGTCTCCGACGCAGACAAGGCGTCGAGGCACAGGAAGAAGCTCATGCTCTTCCTGGAGGTGGTGCAGCAGCGCTCTGAGGAGTGGTTTTCTCTCAAAATGGCGTCGGTTTTACCCCCCCGGTTTGGTGGGTATAAAAAGGGAGAGCTAAAAAAAGGAAACGCCCATGTTGGCAAAACGACCACGGGTTTAAATCGATATTTGTAAAGGGAAAGCTGAAATAGGAACCACCCAATGGGTGGCAAATGGATTCAAATATTTAGAGGCCCCTCCCCCCCACGTCCCCCCCAGGACTTTGAGTTGTACATCTCGACTTTGCGGATGGAGTTGCAGCTACATCTGAAGAGTGAGCCGGAGATTCCCTTGGCTCAGCCAGCCATCTTCCTTGGAAACTCTGCGAAGCCGTGCGGCCACCATGTTGTGGTGTCACTGTGAGACGCAAAGTTTTTTTGGCTTCCCGAATTTGCGTGGCTTTCGATTTGCGAGCATTTTCTGCGCGCAGCGCACAAGCAAAAGTTCCGATGTTCAGACGAGCTGCGGTTGGCACATAGACCGCAAAGCAAGTTGGCTCTGCGAAGCAGTGTGGCCACAATGTTGTGGTGTCCCTGTGAGACACAAAGCTCTTTACGGATGTGTCGCTTGCTATTTGCGAGCATTTTCTGCGCGCAGTGGCACATTCCTTGAATGTGAGCATGCTTTTTCCCATGCTCAGCATGCTTACACTCTTGCGCACAAGCAAAAGTTCCGATGTTCAGACGAGCTGCGGTTGGCACATAGACCGCAAGTTGGCTCTGCGAAGCAGTGTGGCCACAATGTTGTGGTGTCACTGTGAGCCGCAAAGCTTTTGACGGATGTGTCGCTTGCAATTTGCGAGCATTTTCTGCGCGCAGCGCACAAGCAACAGTTCCGATGTTCAGACGAGCTGCAGTTGGCACATAGACCGCAAAGCAAGTTGGCTCTGCGAAGCAGTGTGGCCACAATGTTGTGGTGTCACTGTGAGACGCAAAGCTCTTTACGGATGTGTCGCTTGCTATTTGCGAGCATATTCTGCGTGCAGTGGCACATTCCTTGAATGTGAGCATGCTTTTTCCCATGGGGGCACAATGACCACTGACAGAGGCCCACAATTCACACCTCCCTCACCTGTCAGCATGCTTACACTCTTGCGCACAAGCAAAAGTTCCGATGTTAAGACGAGCTGCGGTTGGCACATAGACAGCAAAGCAAGTTGGCCGTGGTTCAAGCAACTGTACCAAAATGGTTTCCCTTGGTGAATCCCCGACCAAAGAGGAACACCTGTGTAACCCCAGCTGCTTGAAACTTTTTCAGCCACACTCAAATGGTGCCTTCTGTGTTTGTTTTGGTGACTTAGGCAGAGGTGAGTTTGAGTGCTAAGCGCCGGTGCAAAGCTGTTTTGAGTTTTCAGCCCAGCGAGTTGTTTCACCCAGCTTCTGGACTTTGAGAGGTGACGGCAGGAGCTGCGCCTGATTTCTCTCTTCTCCCACTGGCGAGCTGAGTGCTTTATGCGCACGCCACCGGCGATTGCCCCAATTTTCACGGCACCGTGAAATGTACGGAATCGGTGGAATCCACGAGGGCTACTGGGGTCTGCTCGGAAAGCAGTATTTTTGAAAGCTCTGATATTTTGAGGTTAAGTGCCCAAACTGCATCTAATCACATCATTTTTGGTCTACCGTGGAGGTTGAATCGCCTTGCGGCCGGCATCGCTGGCCTGAGTTACTGAGCTCCGCTCCTTTGCGCTCTTGCGGCACCCAGGACAGCATTGACCTGAAAACGCCGGACTCAACAAGCAAGGGTTCCCCCTTTTTGCCTGGGTCCAAATGGGCTATGGGGGGGCTATATATGGGGGGGCTACTGGGGGGCAATGGGGGCTATGGGGGCTGTCGGATCACGAGTGACTCCTTGGGTCAAAATGGCTTTGGTTTGTTGGGTCCTGGTAGGTACCATCCTAAAATTCCGCAAAGGGCCCGCAACTTTTTCCCCCCGCACGGCTTCTTTTTGGTGAATCGGGACACGGGCCTCACTTAGTTTCACCTAAACGAGCCAGGCACAGGCATGTTTTGAGTCTGAGTTTGTCAACCTCCCTCCGTACTCATGCCTGTCAGGTATTCCCCTTTCGAACCTCTCCCAGTCATTATTCATGGGGCCGGAATCAAAGCCATTTCGTTCTTTTCCATTGGCAGGTTCAGGGACCGTCGTATTTTTCGGCGCCAAAGAAAGCCAAATGGGAGCCGCTGACCCTGGCGACGTGTTTGATCTCTGACAAAGGCCTTCAGCTGATACACATTTGAAGCCAAGAAATAAGAACAGCTCACGATTCTTGAGTTGGAGCTTATACTTGCGGGGAGCATTTTTGTGTTTTGAAGACCAACAGGGACTTTTCCGAAGTTGGGGAGCTTCCCCCGACCCACCGGAGCCACGGGGAAGATAAGTTCGGCAATCCTTGGGGCAGGAAGCCAAAGCAAGCGCCACTACTTGCGGGCCCTGTAGTTTAACACAAACACATATATATATATATATACACACAGACACACGCACTTCTTCCGGTTCTTTGTTTCGGTGCGCTTGAATGTTCGAGGTGTTCAAAAAAACGCAATGTCGCTTTGTGATTCTGCTAAGGCTTCAAGGGTTGGAAAGCTAGGATTGTGCGACACCGGGTTACTTCATGCGGGTTTCGACCTGGTTGAGCGAACAAGTTGATGGTCGTGCAAGACTGGGATAGTCAGCAGAGTAAAGTAGCCAGGATGGATACTCCAGATTGGTACTTGCAGGTTGACTCCGGTGGGTGGTCATTGAACGGATTCACAGAAGAGCAAACATTTTCGGCTTCCTCGCCGCATCCCTCCATTCGGCATCATGTTGCCGTCCGGTGCCGAACCCGTTTTGGGGTTTGTGTTCAGGGGTGTGGACCTCCTGGACGTAGGTACATATCAATATTCCCGTCTCCAATTTGCACCATGGGCAACTTTTCCCATGTGGGACTTTTGGTCGACTTTCCAACCAGCGGTATTTAGGACATATCATCTTCTCAGTGGTTCTCCCACTGGCCCCATGTATCACGAAGCTTTTGATCCTGGTCGACCTTCCCCGCAAGGCTTGATTTCGACCGGGGCGAGAGATGCAGGGAATGAGACCACCATCCCGGTGGTTCCTTTAAGGGGACCTGCAGGTTCATCCCCTCATTCCCTGCTCAGCAGGATTAACAACAGGGCAACCTAAAATGGATTTCGGTGTCCCTTTTGGTTTCCCTGTCAACTGTTCTGGAAAAGATCACCCTGAAACACGCACACACACACACACAGACACCAGAAAGTCGCGTGACGAACACTCACCGCGAGTTGCAAAAACTTGAGGCTGGGCGCTGTCCCCGATGATGTCTCCGCAGCCGGGGACCTGAGTTGTTTCCTGTTTTCGGCAACGTACCAGTGTGTGCGCGCGGTTTTGTGTGCGTGCGTGCGTGCGTGCGTGCGGGCGGGCGGGCGGGGCGGGCGGCGGGAGGGGCGGGCGGGCGGGCGGGCGTGCGGGCGTGCGTGGGTGGGGGTGGGTTGCGTGGTGTGCGTGGGTGCGTTGGTGATGGGTGGGTGTGGCGTGCGCGGCGTGGCGTGCGGCGTGGCGTGCGGCGTGGCGTGCGGCGTGGCGTGCGGCGTGGCGTGCGGCGTGGCGTGCCGGCGTGGCGTGCCGGCGCGTGGCGTGCCGGCGTGGCGTGCCGCGTGGCGTGCCGGCGTGGCCCGGCGTGGCGTGCCGGCGTGGCCCGGCGTGGCCGGCGTGCGTGGCGTGGCGTGCCGGTGCGTGCCGGCGTGGCGTGCGTTGCCGGCGTGGCGTGCCGGCGTGGGGCCGCGTGGCGTGCCGGCGGGCGTGCCGGCGGGTGCGTGCCGTGGCGTGCGGCGTGGCGTGCCGGCGTGGCGTGCCGGCGTGGCGTGGCGTGCCGGCGGCGTGCGGCCGGCGTGGCGTGCTGGCGTTGCGTGGCGGCGCCGGCGTGGCGTGCCGCGTGGCGTGCCGCGTGCCGGCGTGGCGTGCCGGCGTGGCGTGCCGGCGTGGCGTGCCGCGTGGCGTGGGGCGTGGCGTGCGGTGTGGCGTGCCGGCGTGGCGTGCGGCGGCGTTGGCGTGCGTGTGGCGTGCCGGCGTGGCGTGCCGGCGTGGCGTGCCGGCGTGGCGTGGCCGTGCCGGCGTGGCGTGCGGTGCGTGCGTGCGTGCGTGCGTGCGTGCGTGCGTGCGTGCGTGCGTGCGTGCGTGGCGTGCGGTGGGTGGGTGGGGGTGGGTGGGTGTGTGTGTGTGTGCGTGGTGTGTGTGTGTGTGTGTGGTGGGTGGGTGGGTGGGTGGTGGGTGGGTGGGTGCATTGGTGGGTTTGTGGGTGTGAGGGTGTGTGGGTGGGTGCGTGCGTGCGTGGGTGCGCTAGGTGCATGGGGATCAGTGGGTGCGTGCGTGCGTGCGTGCGTGCGTGGGTGGGTGGATGGATGGGTGGGTGTGTGTGTGTGTGTTGTGTGTGTGATGTGCGTATGTGTGCATGCGTGCGTGGGTGGGTGGGTGCGTGCGCGGCTGGGTGGGTGCGTGCGCGTGTGCGTGGGTGGGTGGGTGGGTGGGTGGGTGGGTGGGTGGGTGGGTGGGTGGGTGGGTGGGTGGATGTGTGTATGTATGTGCGTGTGTGTGTGTGTGTGTGTGTGTGTGTGTGTGTGTGTGTGTGTGTGTGTGTGTGTGTGTGTGTGTGTGCGTCTTTTTGTTTGCGTGTGTGTTTGTATTCGTGTGTGTGTTTGTTTTCGCGTGTGTGTGTGTGTGTGTCTTGCTTGCTTGCTTGCTTGCTTGCTTGCTTGCTTGCTTGCTTGCTTGCTTGCTTGCTTGCTTGCTTGCTTGCTTGCTTGCTTGCTTGCTTGCTTGCTTGCTTGCTTGCTTGCTTGCTTGCTTGCTTGCTTGCTTGCTTGCTTGCTTGCTTGCTTGCTTGCTTGCTTGCTTGCTTGCTTGCTTGCTTGCTTGCTTGCTTGCTTGCTTGCTTGCTTGCTTGCTTGCTTGCTTGCTTGCTTGCTTGCTTGCTTGCTTGCTTGCTTGCTTGCTTGCTTGCTTGCTTGCTTGCTTGCTTGCTTGCTTGCTTGCTTGCTTGCTTGCTTGCTTGCTTGCTTGCTTGCTTGCTTGCTTGCTTGCTTGCTTGCTTGCTTGCTTGCTTGCTTGCTTGCTTGCTTGCTTGCTTGCTTGCTTGCTTGCTTGCTTGCTTGCTTGCTTGCTTGCTTGCTTGCTTGCTTGCTTGCTTGCTTGCTTGCTTGCTTGCTCTTCTCTTGTCTTGTCTTTTTACAGGGAAACTAACAGAAGCAGCCTATTTTTCAGGTCCCCTATTTAGGCATCATACTGTACCTCATTCATGGGTATTTCGTTCTGTTGATGAACTCTAGGGGAACCCCTTGCGAGCCAAAGAGCTCAGTTCTGCGATCGTTTCCAGTAAGTTGCTGAACTCTTAGAGGAAAACCCCTGTAATGCCAACTTCGGATGAACTTGGAGCCCTTAGTTAGAGCCCCCCCCCCAAAAAAAAAGAAAGAAAACAAACAAGCTTGGTCTCGTACTAAAAGGGGGCTTGCCAGCCCCTGTGCAACCAGGGCTTCTTCAGATCAGTCACGTGGCTGTTTGAAGGATTTGGATTGGGGACTGGGGCTTTGGACCCAGGATTTGGCGCGGGTGCACCCCCAAAAAAACCCACCCAATAAATGCCTTTCCCCCGCACCTGCCCTTTTGCCGGAGCTCCCAAGCTCCCGAAACTCAGTGTTCAGAACAGGTGGGGACAACGGGCTGTCCTTTTTCCTCAAAAAAGATCTTGGGGAGGAAAGATGGCGGTTTATGCCATGTTGCTTTGTGCTTAGAGTTGGTGCCATTTTTCGGGGGTGGTTTGAAACAGGTTTCGGGTTGGAAACACAGGCCCCCCTCCCCCCTTTATTCAGGAATAAACGTGTTTGTATCTTTCCCCTTGTTGGTTTGAAGGGAATTGATCACTGGACATATTTCCCTTCTTGTGTGGGGTTCTTTCTTTCTTGTCGTTGTCCGCGTCTCTCCTCCTCCTTCGCCTCCTTCTCTTCCTCCTCTCACTCACGCAACACAAAACAACTTACTCTCGCTCACTCAAGTTGCACTCACTAGCTTACACACACACACACACACGCTTACTCTCACTCACGCTTGCTCTCATCACACTCACTGTCACTCACACTCACTGACGTATGCATACTTTCTTTCACTCACTCAACTTACAGTCAGTAACTTTCGCATACTTATATACTCTCACTCACCCAGCTTACCTTCACTGACTTTCGACCACTTACTTTCACACCCTCCAAGTTCACTGACTAACTGTCAGAGACGTACTTCACTCACTTAAGTCTGCACATACTTACTCTCACTCACTTAACTTACTCTCACTGACTTTCATACAATTGTTTCACGCCCTCAATTTACACACACTTACTTGCGGGGCAGGCACAGTACTTTTTGCATGCAGCGGGTTTTAACTTGCGGCGTCTTGTCCCTAGCTTCTACCTGCCAGAAAAGGCTGCGGCTCAAATAAATGCACCAGCATGGCACCTTGGTAAATGGAACCAAAGACTAAAACCTGCGCATTCCTCCTGCTTTAATTTTGAGCCATCCCCGAAACGATGTGTTGTTTGCTGAGTGAAGCGCGAACACTTCTCTTGGTGCTCAAGCGGTGGGTGGCAAATGCCTGTCCGCGCGTGACATTGTCTGAGCTTCGGGAACCGCTGCGAGTCAGGTTTTTGAGGCATAGCGGCATAGCATAGCGTATGTGTACAGAATATATAATGATATAATATATATATATATATATGTCCATATATTACATGTAGGTGCATACCTGACCTCCTTTAGTGTTTCCTGTCGCTAGTTTTCATGAAAGGTGTTGCTTCCTCTTCCTTTCCGCGGAGACCTCGGCGTTTGTTGACACCGCCCGCTCGGTCGATCCCAAGGCGGTCTGAAGCGCGAGCCGATGAGGCGCCATTCGAATCGCCCTGCAGATGGGGTGGGGAACCGCCAAAAAAGGGGGGTGCCCTTGTTTCCCTGGCAACGGGTCAAGCCTAAAGGAGAGGGTTTCCAAGATGCAGAAGATCTGTTTCTGAAACTGGAAGAACACTGAAGAGAAACCGGAACAAACACTTGAAGGCAACCTGAAGACCTGAAAGAAATCCTTGAGCTCCAACGTCGGTCAAAGCGCGGGTCGAGGTACCTTGGACTCTGTGAGAAAAGGGGGGGACGGAGTTTGGTCAGAAATAGATGGGTTCCAGTGGTTTAGATTGGGTTTATTACCCATTTGCCAAAGCCATCTGTATTTTCACAAGGTCACCCACCTATGCGCCCAACCGTTTGCTTGCCAACTGCGAAGAATTGTGTGCGGTGGGTTGCGGGGTTGCTATGGTAGGTATTGGGCCCTTTGAAGAAATCCTGATTTCCGGCCTCCATTACCGGTACGGGCTAGTTGGACAGCTTCCCGGGAAGCTGTAAGTCAAATGAAATTTGACACATGGTTGCTTAGGAATTCGTAGACACCTGTTATGTAGCGGGTGTACATATACATACATACAAAAAATATATACATATATATATATACATATTATAGTATATATATATATATATATGTATAGTGTATTTATATATAGTATATATGTATATGCTTATATTTATACACATATCCCCACACTATCCATACACGTAGTAGGGTTTCCTCGTTCCGGGCGTTCTGTTTTCAGCCTTCGTGCAGGACACCTTTGGCCGGGCTCATAGCGATCAGCGGCTGCTTTGGGGGGGACACCTTTCCGCATGTTCTCCAAACACTTTTTGTCTTTGCCGGTTGCCCAGATGAGGCGGAGGGTCCCTTGTCTTTTACAGTTTCTGGGGGCAAACTTTGAACTTTGACCTCTTGAAGAGGCCTTGCGGCGAGGTTGAGCAAGCAAGCGCCTTGTTGTCACAACGGTGGTTCCCATCGCTTCCCTGGCAACCAAACCCAGCGGAAACGGACAAGCCAGGCCAAGTGCTCGCAGGGATTGGCGTAACGTCCCCCGACTTCAACCCCGGATAGATCAAGCGCATCCCTTCAAGGACCAGGGGTTACGAATCCACCAGTTGAACTAGGTCCCCAGTGCCCTTTTACCTGTTTCTTGTACTAAAATATACTACCGAAAAAGGGTACTCTTATTCTAACCTCTCTACTGGAGGACCTAGTGAAAAGGAAACATGTCCAAGCTGCGAGTGGCTTCTGGCACACATCTACCAGAATATCTACCAGAACCAGGGGTTCAAACCAAACCACCGGGCTCCAAACCACGGCTTTCCGGCTTAGAAAAAACACGACTGCTCTCCTTTTTGAGGAGCCAACAGGTTGAAAAGCCAGATCAGTTGCCCCAAAACCCGGCGAAGCCCGGGTGCGAAGACCTCGACTTTTGGCCCGAACCAGGAGACGAATTCGGCAAAGCCAAGCTATGCCTGGGCTCAATCCCTGAGTTGCTGGACTTGAGTCACTTCCGGGGTTTGGACCGTTGCAGCAAACCAAAAGTGTCGACTGTTTTTGCTGGACCAGTCCACTGGGGTGAGGTTAGGAGAGTCTTATATAAAAGGCTACATGAATGAAATCCATGGGGTAGGTGCACCACCCATTTTTGTCCATTTTAGTGGGGATTGAGATGTTCACTGGGGGTACGGGATTTTGCCCCACTCCGGTGGGGCACGTCAGACTTGCCCATTTTTTGTTCCCCTGTCTCCATGTGGGGACACCCCCTTCTCCCGAATCGCCAAGGGGCAAAGAGATTGGCATGTACCCTTTCTACCTGCCAACTGCTTTTTAGCCGCAAAAGCCGGCCTTACCTTGCACCCCACCCGTCAACGGCCAGGATGCCATTTTTTTTTCTTCAGCAACCGCCGGCCATGCCGGGGTGCGTTTTCCGCATTTTCGGGTGGTTGGCCTGGGTCGGCCGAGTTTTTTCAGTTTTCGAGGCGCAAGAGGCTCGCCACTCCGAGACTCAGGCGGGGCCGTGCGGGACATCGGAAAGCAAAAAGCCAGCGGATTGTTCGGGACATTTTCGGGTTCCCTGGGTGTGTTTTTTTTGGTTGCTTGAAGGGGGTATCCGTTTTTTTGGGGGCTGGTTTAAACGGGAACCCACAGGTCCTGTTTGGGGGTTCTCCTGAAAACCAATGGAGGTCTAACAGAAAACAAAGTCCGTCTTGTTTTTTGAACAATGGGTGTCTAACGCAAGGCACGCTTTCTAGGCCTAGGCTTCGATGAGCGTCTTGGCGAAGCTTGCCGCTTGCGCAAGCCCTGCGGATCGGCCAAGCCTCGCCCATTCGCCGAGAGTCCCTGTGGGGAATCAACTTTTGGAGGGGCCACCCGACAAAACATGAACAGGGTTGAAGAAAACATGGGGTCAACATTATGAGTCTGTGTGTGTGGTATTAGTGAACAGGGGTGAAACTTACTATGGCGTCAACATTATGTGTGGTGTGCTGTGGTTCCTCCTTGACTTGCGATCGGTGCAAGAGATGCGGGGCCCTGAGAAAATGGAATGACCCCGAGATAAACCATCCCCGATTTGGTTTCCTTTATTCGGGAATCCCCTTCTGGTTCATGCCCTCATTGCCCACTGAGCGGGAAGCTTTTGCTTGCAGCTGGCAAAGGGAAGCCGCAGGGCGTATCCCCACAATTTTGGGGGGTCCAACATACCGACCCGCGCCCTTTTATAGGGTCCCAACCTCCTGTTTGTCCGCGTCAGTTCATGCTGCAGGGACCTTCAAGGGAGTGGGAGAGACGCGAGCTGAAGCTTGAGGCTTCCTTCCTTTCGATTTGGTCAGGACCTTCCTGGCCCAGATGGTTTTCAGGAAAATCGAAGACTCTCTGGACAAAAACCCGTGGTTTCAAGCCACCCGCCAAAACAAATCAAAAGCCGTTGGTTCCGCTGCAGAAAGCCTCCCCCAAAAAAAGTTTGATACCCGCAAAAAACTGGGCACCCGGAATGGATCTTTTTGGAGTCGTCAGAGGCTTGATCCAGCTCAACACCTCGGGCACGGCGGTGCGCTTTGATGTGGGGGCGCCCCAGCTCTCGGGGAGGTTGGATTGGAGGCTTTGGTTTGGGGTTGGATGGGGTGTTGAATTGTTCTTTCCTTTTTGTTGAGGGGCCTTTTGAGAAATGTATTGTTCGGTGTAGTTGTTGACCGACGAAAAGCCTTTTGACACGTCGTCTTTTTTGACTTTGGAGGCTCTCGACCCTGGATCTGAGCCTGGTACCCTGGAATGCCTCGAAGGCATATTGCGTTGCAAGTGGAGCATCTAGTAGTAATAAGCTACATATACACGTTGATATATATATATATATATACACATGATGTATGTATATGTATATATATATATATATGTACATCACACACATATATATAATATATATATGATATTTGTATATGTATATGTAATTATGATATGTATATGTAGATATTATGTATATATGATGTGTATATATATATGGGTATATATATATATATATATATATAAATATTATATAAAGCAACAGGAGCATCACTTCTTGCAGGGCTTCCATCAGACCAGCCTGTTTGTCCGGCCTAGTCAGTCCTTATGTTTCGTGCATGTTTTTTGGCCCGGTGGATTCCTACACCCAGGGTTTTCCCCCATTTTTCTGACGGAAGTTCTCCACTGGAGGGCAGGAACACCTCGAGTTCTCTGCCGGAGGTTCCAATCGCTCAGAAGCCTTTTGGCCTTTTTTTTTAACCGCATGAAGGCCCCAAAGGCCTGAGCCATGTGGAGGTTCTCAAAGGCATTTCCACCCAAACCGGTGGTTTCCCTTTTTGGTTTCGGCTCGAAACCAGTCCAAAAAGCGAAAACCCTCAGGAAAAGTGAAGGAAGGAACCACAGCCATGTTACTTTGCAGGGCTTTTTCACCAAAAGGTGAGAACAGCCAAAAGGGATTCAAGTCCCTAAATCTCCCACATGCCCATTTTGTGGCAAGTTGATCAAGCTGTTGCAGATTCCAGAAGGGAAACCAAATGCGCTCACCGAGCTTTATTTGGGCATTCCTTGAAATCGGTTTATGAAATTAAGTGGTTTGGCCGGCTTTTTCTATGCTTCAAGCAAAAGTAAGGCAACCGGAGATAGGTAACTTTGAGCCTTGAGTCTGTTAATTTTGTGTTCATTGGAGGGATTTGCGATATTGGGATTCTTCTGTTTTGAGGCCCCTTTCACCTTGGGTTCCCGACAAGACCATCATTTCTGGATTCTCCTCTTTTGAAGGCTCACGAAACTTCTCGCGAAAGCCAGGGGGACTCACATTTTCCGTGTCCTTCCAGCGAAGCACGTTTTGACCATGGCTTAGACCACGGAGTTCCAACCACCGTCAACTCAAGGGGGGTTTGTAAGGATTGTCATTGATTCAGGGGAGATTGAACCCTAGGCTTACATGGCTGATCTTTGTTATTGAGGTACTCCTTTGAGGTTGGTTCAAGTAAGCCAAGTAGGGAGCCTCACCCAAAAGCCCAAAAGCGACGGCTGTTTTGCCAGATGCAGCAGCTGCTGAGCGCACGCACAGGCCAGGGCTGAGCTTGGGGCGGTTGGCCAGGTTTTGGTCGTACTTGTGGGTAACAGTTTGGGGGTTGGACCGTTCTTGTGGCACACAGCGAGCTCTGACGTTTTCTGGCCAATCCACTCGGGGTATGAGACCTTTGAGCGCAACAGGGAAACGGTGCATGCGGCGCTGCCACGTTGTTGGCCACGTTGGCCAAGACGATGTTCCAAATACTTTGGACTGGATTTGACTTTGGGGAAGAACCGAATCTCCACCAGGGAACGAACTTGAAGAATTGTCATTTCAGAACCAAATGGAGACATAAGGATTAAGGGAACCAACTTAGAAAGCACTTGAGGATTTTCCAACGAACCAACTTGGAAAGAGGGAACCCGTTGCTCCGAGAATGATAAAACCCAGGCGGACCTTTGGTTTGCACACCTCGCACCTTCAGAGGTCTACAGACCCCAACACACCGTTTGTTGGAGCTGCCTCCACAATACTGAATCTACGGATTCAAAGGGAACCCCTTCTCTCAAGTTCTACTCTGCTTCAAAGGGAGTCCCCCCCTATCTACACTACTGGTTCAAAGGGAATTACCCCCCATGTCATTTTGAGAGCTCGTTGAACATGTTGAGCAAAGTTCGGAGCCGTGGAGGTTCCACGATTTTTTTCTTCTGGAGATCCTAATAGTGCACTCAACCAAGATCCCGAGCAGTCACAGGGCACCGACCCTCCCCCACCCCCCCACCCCCCCGTTTTTTGGGGGAATTTTCCGTTGCATGTGCTCGAACGGTGTGTTTCTTCCAATCGGAATCGGTACACGAGTTTTTTTTGCGCCGATCTTGCAGGTGGGTCCGAAGGCTTGGTTGCAACTTGCCTCTTTAGCCGGCAAACCCGGGAAGCGAAGCCTGTTGAAATTCTGGTTGGAAATTTGGTGGTTGGCACATCAGTGAGAGAAGCTTAAGGTGTCTTGAAACAAAAGGGGTTCCTTGGTCAAAGGGCTTGGCTGTCCGAGGGCCATTTTAGGCTTCTTGTGGCTGGTGATTCTGGCGCGGATCTATTGGATTTCAGGTGGGTCGCGACCCATGCAGTTGGAACATCCAAGTTATGGAGCCCTTGTACCGTTTCTGTTTTGGGAGAGGTGAGTCTCGTGGATTATGCAGGTGTGTATGTGTACGTATATATATATATATATATGTATATATATATATTATATATATATATATATATATGTAACACGCATCGCGAGGGCTTTTTCTGGCTCTTGTTTGTGGATGCTTTTGCGATGGCCGGCGATGCTCGTGAGCATACTCGTGATGCTTGCGATGCAGGTGGTGCTAATGTTAACAGTTCTGAGGCGGAGGCTGTTGGAAGCTTTGGGGATGGCGGAAATTCTTCAATCTCTATGTTCGGATGCAAGCGCCTACCCATTTACGATCGAATATTGTTGAGACCGAAAACAAAGGTAGCGCCCACCAACTTCCCCCGTTGATCCGTGAACGAAAGAGAAGGTCTAGAAGGTTATGGGCACAACGGGTGTGAATCATCTGGGGATCTTTTTAGAAGGAAAATGGTCCAAACCAGGACCGCTCTGTCAGGTTCCATGGAGGGTAAAACTGTCTTCGGCCTTTATCTCCAACCAGTCGAGAATACGCCACATTCCCAGGAGACTCAGCCCCTTATCTCCAGGTGATCAGGCTAGTGGACGAAGTTGGTGTAAACAAGCAGACCCTACAGGTTTCTTCTGTAAACTCAAAAATATGTTGCCCAGAGCTGTTTCGCCAAGCTTGCACGCCTGGATTCAGGGGCCCTTTTCTGGGTCCACTTCCTCCAGCCTTCCGCCTCGACCGATGCCAGAAGTAGAGGGCCCGCGGCTCACGCGTGAACAGGCGGGGGACTTTCGGGGACGTCGGCTCGCTGGTCAGTTTCCGCGAGCGATTTTGTTGGGGGAGTTTGTTTTGTACAGCGATCATGGGATGGGTACTGCGAAAGGAAGAGGCGCTTTTCCATCAGAGGTCACCCTTTCTCTCTTTTCGTGCGATTGGTTATGCCTTCACTTAAGTGCTACTATTTCGGGCACTAAGTGTATCCTGGGCTTTGTAATGAAGGTTCTTTACGGGTTCGGGCCCTGCTTTTAGACCTCCAATTCCTGTCTTGGCCCGACAAAACACCCCCGGAAGCACGGGTTCGGGGGAGACGCCGGGTCCCCATTCAGTTCGTGCTGGGGATAGACAGTTGGTGCGTCCCTTCCAGGATTCAGCGCAGTCTGGTGGTTTCCCTAGTTGGGGCAGTAGCCACCTCCCTCAAAGAAACACTCGCAACTGCCGACATTTGTAAGGTTGACCCCAGATGAATAACCCCCTATCTATTGATACAGGGGTGTCCCACTTTAGGAGGGGAACACCCCCCCCAATTTAATAAGCAGGGGTTTATGGACAGGCATTCAACATGATTCTATTGTTGGCTTGGAGAGGACATGAGGTCCAGCATCTTGAGAGCCGAAAGGGCGCACAATCAAAGCAAGCATTGCGCCCGTAATAGGAACTCCTACATGTACAACGAGCGGGACATTTTCACTACTGTATATTAGTGTTCAACTCCTCTACTCTACTTTCTTGTCTGAAAGTACCCTGTACAGAGCAAGGTCAAAAAAGTCATCTGGAAAAAACCGACCCCACAGCACCAGTGCCCCGAACACGTTGACAGCTGGGTATGGGTCAATATTAAAACCACCGCCGCAGGTTTTAGTCCTTGTTTCCAGTTTCCAGTTACCAAGCCATTGTCGGTACCTATTTTTGACCCACACCCAGCTGGTTCCCTCTTGGAAAAACTCAGAGACAGGACTTGGAAGACATGAGCAGCGCGCAAAACGGCAGGTCTTGGCGTTGCCCGAAAGCGCGTGCGCCGGCCGAGAGAAGGACGTAGATGGGGGCTGGGGGTTGGGCGTGGGGGTAGGGGTTGAGCAATCTTCCAAGTAGGGCCCGAAACGACCATGGGTCACTTTTCCCATTCAGTGGTAGTTTTTTTTTGGTCCCCTGGTTCACCCGGACCTTTTGCTGAAGCCCCATGCGTCAAATGGTTCCGCGTCTCAAAGTAGGCCGCAGCAAAATGCATTTCGGTTGGCTTTGGATTTCCCACACTTCTACGAATAGGACATCCACTCAAGAGAGAAATGCACACGGAGATGGTCCGGCAGGTCTGTTTCGAGCCGTTCAGCATCGGCCCCATGTAAGCTAAGTGGGTGTGGGTCGTTTTTTTCTTCTTCTTGCAATGGGAACTCAGGATTGATAAAAATCCCAGGTCGAGTTTGATGGGGTGTCCTATTGAAGGGAATCCGCGGGAGTTTTTTCAGGGGTTTGATCCGTCAACGTTGCCTTTGTTTCGCGAGCCAAAAAAGGAAACGCCCCACGCCCAGGTGGGTAGCTGGTCGCTCCCGGTTCTCCATCCAACCCCTCTGATCATTGAGCACCAGACCCTTCTTTTGGGGTTCCCTCCGGATATTTGAAGGGGGAGTACCCTCCCACCAACCAACATGGAAGTGCACAAACCCCATTTCCAAGAGGCAAGTAGTCTTTCTACCAGGGTCTGTGAGGGGGAGTAAAACATGCAGGGCTCCGAACGGACAAAGAGACGGGTGCCCCTTCAAACCCTTTTGCGCATGGCCGCTGGGGGTCTGGGTGGCCAATCGCAGGGTTTGCAGTTTGAGGCTGCAAACATCAGCTGCAAGCCCTTTGAGTAGCGCGGAAACCAACCGCTGGCTTGTTGAGGTGGCAAACGGCCCGAACTGCTTCAGGCCTGCTTCATCATTTGGTCAAGATCCAGCAAAAACCCGTTCGTTCTCCTTCCTTGACTTGCAAAGAGATCTGGTCCCCGTTGCAGCGGCTTTTCCAATACTTCAACATGGGTTCTGGATGAGGCTTGATTGGCCAGCTGAGCATGTTCAGCAACCTCTTTCAAGCACGGCTGTTGTCGCCGCAACTCGTGTGTATTGCCAAAGGGTTGAGGGGCCCGAATTTTCGAGGGTTTTCTGAAGATCTGAGATAGCAGGTGGATTTGTTTCTCCCTCACTCCGAGGAGACATGGACGCTTCTAGGTGAAAAGAGGAAAGTCAAGAACGGAATCGCCGATTGAACAAGTGGAAACCGATGAGCGCCTTGCTAGAAATGGTTTAGAAACGCGCCAGCGTTTCTCCGAAAGAAGTTGACACCCAATCCAAGTTCAAAGACTGGTATGGTATATGCTTGGCGCATGTCCCAAAAACGCAAAGCTCAGCTCGGTCAATAAGACTGGACACTCGGGAGAGGAATCCGAGAGAAGGCCTGTCATGGGACTTCACTAGTGGCATCTTGGAGCGCCATTCATACTACTCGAGTTCTGCATTGGAGGAGCTTGTGAAGACCATGGGTGTTGTTCTGGTAGAAAAATTGGTGGCCCCACGTTCAGTTTGCCTGGTGGTTGCATCATCTACCAGAGCCATCTATTTGCCCAAAAAGGACGCCTAGGGTGAAGACTTTCTGAAGTGTAGGAGGAACATGACCATAGGAGGAAGAAACAAGCGTAGGACATATTTTGTTTCATCGGCCAGGGACCCAATGAAAAACAAGTCCTCTTTGAACATGGAACTAGTATGCCACGAGCACAACGCCTACGACGAGTTTGCAAAGGAGCAAGTTGACTGATCGAGACGTGCAGGGATGCATACCGCCTGTGGGATCCTCACACTGTGTTTGGTAGCAACAATTCCACAAACATGTCAAATGCCCTCCACTAAGGCACAATAGGCAGGCGACAGCTACATGTTGGGAACTTTAAATATTTTCAACCTTCACAGATTTCTCATTTATCGAATCCCTCATCCAGCAAGGGGCAACCATCTCCAGATGCAGGCAACAAAACACAGAGCGCTGGACACGTTGTTCCACCATGGTCCAAAAGACTAGGGGTGCCAATGTTTCAGATGGTAGCAGCAACGCTGGGCACCGTTCAGCTCCAAAAACGCTGAGCAGCGTGTTGTACAAAAAGTCTGATTATACATAAGTGTTATAACTGATTGTTAGTTGCCTATTTGAGTCTGTCTTTTTGTGGGGTCCCCCAAAAAAAAACACAAATAATGCTGGTTGGCTTTTTTTCAGTGGTCCCCCCCAACAAAAAAAACACAGAAAATATGTTGCTCCTTTTTTTTCCCCCGGATTTCCCGTCGATAGGAGTCGACCAGCTGCTCCATTTGCCTGGAGCTCCTGCGTCGGGGGCTCGCAAAAGAAAACCGTCCGTGTGGGTGTGGGTCCTTTTGAGTTGACGCCCCCGTTTGGCGGCGGTTTTACGGGAACACCAAAGCGAAAACCCAAATCCTGAAGTTAGGGGGTCCAAATCCTATTTTGAGACGCACAGGTTTTTTAGAGCCAAAGCGCCCACTTCGGTACACGGCAGAATAACATGGAACAAGTGTTTGGAGGATTCTCCTGTTGGCAAGTCGATTCTGCTTTTCAGGGTTGAACATGACCATTTGGGCCACTGGGCGATGGCCCCGGTGGCCATGGTTTTTGATGCCCGAGACGGCGGGGAGTGGGGAAATATAACCGGCTGCAACTTTTGCTCTTGGACGCGAGTGGCACGCTTGGGACCCGCATTCGCATGCGCGGTTCGGAAGGTTTCGTTTCCTTCAGGACTATATATGGTGTTTGGCAATGCAACCATGGGTGGTTTGTAATCAAGTAGCAGGTGTAGGGACCCGTTGCTTATGTGGATAGGTGTGTCCAGGACCATTAACAAAGTTGAGTCACGCGAGTCCAACTTTGCTTCACCCGGAATCATTATAGCAAGCCAAGTTCTGCAATGGCCCTCCGTGGGGTCTGGGAGGGGCTATCGTCAACCTCAACCCCTCGGGGGGTGGGGGGGCTTCTCCTTGGCATTTCCTTGGCCCATCCACGGATGGGCGCCCGAAGCTTCGATCAAATCCAGGGATAGCCGGGAGAGTTCCCCATTCGCTTGGTCCCTTTGCTCCGTAGAGAGGATTGGTTCTGGGAACTTCCCCATTCCTTCCAGGCATCGTTCTCCCCCCGAAGAACCGCCAAACAACCGATTGAGAAACGCCGGGTCTTGTGACAACAACGCCGGTTGAGCAGAATCGCCCCCTAGATTGACCCACGCCAGCGAAAAGAATTCATTGGGACATCCGCAGCCGCGTTTCTCTGGACTTGGGGAAGGGCGGTATGGAGTTCCATTTGTGGTTCCCTTCTCCCTTTCTGTGCAGTGAGAAAAATGGAATTGGAGGACCCCTCACCCCCTCCCAAGGCAGGGGTGATGTTGGGCCCAGCCTTCCAATATTTTAACGCCTCCGGCTCAGGCCGCCGATATTACAGGCCTGCTTTCTTATTTGCGTCCCTTTGGAATTGTCCCCTTGCCTTCCCCTCTGAGATTTTTGCCCCCCTTTCTTTGTTGAGATCCATTCCCCCTTTCTGCCCTAAGGCCTTTTCTCCCTCTGATTTTTTCCCTTTTCCTCCCTAAGATGTTTTCCCCCCTCTCCCTGTTGAGATCCTTTCCCCCCTTTCCCCCCTAAGGCCTTTTCCCCCCTGAGCTTCCTAAGATCTTTTCCCCCCTTTCCTTGTTGAGATCCTTTCCTGCCCTTTCCCCCCTAAGGCGTTTTCCCCCCCAAGATCTTCTCCCTTTTCCTCCCTAAGATCCTTTGCCCCCTTTCCCTGTTGAGATCCTTTCCCGCCCTTTCCCCCCTAAGGCGTTTTCCCCCCCAAGATCTTCTCCCTTTTCCTTCCTAAGATTGTTTCCCCCCTTTCCCTGTTGAAATCCTTCCCACCCTTTCCCGCCTAAGGCCTTTCCCCCCCCTGAGAGCTTCTCCCTTTTCCTTCCTTAGATCTTTCCCCCCTTTCCCTGTTGAGATCATTTCTCCCTTTCCCCCCTAAGGCCTTTGTCCCCAGATCTTCTCCCTTTCCTCCCTAAGATCTTCCCCCCCCCCCCCCTTTCCCTGCTGAGATCCTTTTCCCCCTTTCCCCCCTAAGGCCCTTCCTCGCCCTGAGAGTTTTTCCTTTTCCTTCCTAAATCTTTTCCCCCCTTTCCCTGTTGGGCTTTCCCCCCTAAGTCCTTTTCTCCCAGATCTTCTCCCTTTCCTCCCTAAGATCTTCCCCCCCCTTTCCTCCCTAAGATCTTTCCCACCCTTTCCCTGTTGAGATCCTTTCCCCCCTTTCCCTCCCAAGGCCTTTCCCCCCCCTGAGAGCTTCTCCCTTTTCCTTCCTAAGATCTTTTCCCCCCTTTCCCTGTTGGGCTTTCCCCCCTAAGTCCTTTTCTCCCAGATCTTCTCCCTTTCCTCCCTAAGATCTTCCCCCCCCCCCCCTTTCCTTCCTAAGATTGTTTCCCCCCTTTCCCTGTTGAGATCCTTCCCACCCTTTCCCCCTGAGGCCTTTCCCCCCCTGAGAGCTTCTCCCTTTTCCTTCCTTAGATCTTTCCCCCCTTTCCCTGTTGGCCTTTTTTCCCCCAGATCTTCTCCCTTTCCTCCCTAAGATCTTTTCCACCCCTTTCCCTGTTGAGATCATTTCTCCCCTTTCCCCCCTAAGGCCTTTGCCCCCAGATCTTCTCCCTTTCCTCCCTAAGATCTTTCCCCCCCTTTCCCTGCTCAGATCCTTTCCCCCCTTTCCCCCCTAAGGCCTGAGATCTTCTCCCTTTTCCTCCCTAAGATCTTTTGCCACCTTTCCCTGTTGAGATCCATTCCCCCTTTCCCCCCTAAGGCCCTTTCTCCCTCTGAGTTTTTCCCTTTTCCTCCCTACGATGTTTTCCCCCCTCTCCCTGTTGAGATCCTTTCCCTCCTTTCCCCCCTAAGGCCTTTTTTCCCCCCGCGATCTTCCCCCTTTTCCTTCCTAAGATCTTTTCCCCCTTTCCTTGTTGAGATCCTTTCCCGCCCTTTCCCCCCTAAGGCGTTTTCCCCCCCAAGATCTTCTCCCTTTTCCTCCCTAAGATCCTTTGCCCCCTTTCCCTGTTGAGATCCTTTCCCCCCTTTCCCCCCTAAGGCCTTTCCCCCCCTGAGATCTTCTCCCTTGTCCTCCCCAAGATCTTTTCCCTTGGTTGAGATCCTTTCCCCCTTTCCCCCCGAGATCTTCTCCCTTTTCCTCCCTAGGATCTTCTCCCACCTTTCCCTGTTGAGCTCCTTTCCCCCTTTTCCCCCTAAGGCCTTTTCAGATCTTCTCCCTTTTCCTCCCTAAGATCCTTTGCCCCCTTTCCCTGTTGAGATCCTTTCCCCCTTTCCCCCCTAAGGCCTTTTCCCTGCCTGGGATCTTCTCCCTTTCCTCCTGAGATCCTTTGCCCCCTTTCCCCGTTGAGATCCTTTCCCCCCTTCCCTTTAAGGCCTTTCCAGATCTTTCCCTTTTCCTTCCTAAGATTGTTTCCCCCCTTTCCCTGTTGAGATCCTTCCCACCCTTTCCCGCCTAAGGCCTTTCCCCCCTGAGAGCTTCTCCCTTTTCCTTCCTTAGATCTTTCCCCCCTTTCCCTGTTGGCCTTTTTTCCCCAGATCTTCTCCCTTTCCTCCCTAAGATCTTTTCCACCCCTTTCCCTGTTGAGATCATTTCTCCCTCCCCTTTCCCCCCTAAGGCCTTTGTCCCCAGATCTTCTCCCTTTCCTCCCTAAGATCTTCCCCCCCCCTTTTGCCCCCTTTCCCCCCTAAGGCCTTTCCCCCCCCTGAGAGCTTCTCCCTTTTCCTTCCTAAGATCTTTTCCCCCCTTTCCCTGTTGGGCTTTCCCCCCTAAGTCCTTTTCTCCCAGATCTTCTCCCTTTCCTCCCTAAGATCTTCCCCCCCCCTTTCCTCCCTAAGATCTTTCCCACCCTTTCCCTGTTGAGATCCTTTCCCCCCTTTCCCTCCCAAGGCCTTTCCCCCCCTGAAGATCTTTTCCCCCCTTTCCATGTTGGCCTTTTTTCCCCAGATCTTCTCCCTTTCCTCCCTAAGATCTTTTCCACCCCTTTCCCTGTTGAGATCATTTCTCCCCTTTCCCCCCTAAGGCCTTTTTGCCCCAGATCTTCTGCCTTTCCTCCCTAAGATCTTTCCCCCCCCCCCCAGTTCCCTGTTGAGATCATTTATTTCCCCCCTTTTCCTTCTAAGGCCTTTTCCCACCCTCAGTTCTTCTCCCTTTTCCTCCCAAAGATCTTTCCCCCCCTTTCCTCCCTAAGTCCTTTTCCCTTGAGATCTTCTCCCTTTTCCCGCCCTAAGATCTTTTGCAACCTTTCCCTGTTGAGATTTTTCTCCCCCCCTTTCCTTGTTGAGATCCTTTCCCCCCCTTTCCCCCCTAAGGCCTTTTCCCCCCAAGATCTTCTCCCTTTTCCTCCCTAAGATGTTTTCCCCCCTTTCCCTGTTGAGAACCTTTCCCCCCTTTCCCCCCTAAGGCCTTCTCCCTTTGCCTCCCCAAGATCTTTTCCCCCGGTTGAGATCCTTTCCCCCTTTCCCCTCGAGATCTTCTCCCTTTTCCTCCCTAGGATCTTTTCTCCCTGTCCCGATCCTTTCCCCCCCTTTCCCCCCGAAGGCCCTTTCAGATCTTCTCCCTTTTCCTCCCTAAGATCATTTGCCCCCTTTCCGTGTTGAGATCCTTTCCCCCTTTCCCCCCTAAAACCTTTCCCCCCCTGAGATCTTAAGCTAAGGCCTTTCCCCCCCTGAGATCTTAAGGCCTTTTCCCCCCCTGAGATCTTCTCGCTTTTCGATCCTTTCCCCCCCTTTCCCCCCCAAGGCCTTTTCCCCCCCCTGAGATCATATCCCTTTTCCTCCTTTTTCCTCCCTAAGATGTTTTCCCGCCATTCCCTGTTGAGATCCTTTCCCCCCTTTCCCTCCTAAGGCCTTTTCCCCCCTGAGATCTTCTCCCTTTTCCTCCCTAAGAGCTTTTCCCACCTTTCTTTATTGAGATGCTTTCCCCCCTGTCCCCCCTAAGGCCTTTTCGCACCCTGAGTTCGTCTCCCTTTGCCTCCCTAAGATCTTTTCCCCCCCTTTCCCGCTTAAGATCCTTTCCCCCGTTTCCCCCCTAAGGCCTTTTCCCCCCAAGATCTCCACCCTTCTCTTCCCAAAGTCTTTTTCCCCCTTTCCCGTTTGAGATCCTGTCCCCCCATTGCCCCTTAGGGCCTGTTCCCCCCGAGAAAGATTTCCCTTTTCCTCCCAAAGATCTTTTCACCCCTTTCCCCCTTAAGGCATTTTTTCCCCAGATCTTCTCCCTTTCCTCCCTGAGATCTTTCCCCCCCTTTCGCTGTTGTGTGCCGCTGGAGCTGCTAATGATGCGAAAGCGCACCCGGGGGGAATCGAACACCCCAATGTTTTTGACAAGCTGAGTTGCGCAAGCATTTAGTGAAGCGTCTTCGAATCACCGCGCGGTACGTGGACCCCCCCCCCCCGCAAAAGTCTGAAATGGTGCCCCTGGGGAGGGGTTAGGGGAGGGGTAACAGGTAAAGAGGTAAGGAGCATTTTTTATGTCCAACACGCCGTCTGTTGTCGGCGGATTTCTGTACGAAGGGAAGTCCCGTTGACGCAAAGCCATGGGATGACCTCTTTTGGTCTCACATGACCGGGTGAAACTCTCCTCTCAGTAGTTGATCACTCGGGGTTTGTTTATCCAACCACTTCTGTGATACTTTTGGGAATCTCTTCCCCTTTCTATGGGGGGTTTGCCTTAAGCCCTTTGGTTGTATCACGGAAGTGGATTCCATTTCCAACCCTGTCTAAGAACGTGGTTTTTGTTTTTGGGAGGCCTTTGAGCGCCTGTTCGTTACCTTTCCCAGGAAAGCCACCATGGACACAGGAGTTTTTAAGGCGCAGCTTGTTTTGGAACGACTCGCTGGTTGAGTAACCCGCGGATCTGAGGTGCCGAGGACAGACCTCGTATGCTGCCGTGCCAGCACGCCTTCCACACGGACCGGGCTTTTTTTTCTTCTTATTTCTTTCGCGGCAGCGACACCTCTAGGGGAGCAGCTTGGGCACTTCTTTCTTATTTGGGTAGTTCCAGTTTTTTTTTGGCGTGTGTGTGTGTGTGTGGAAAAGTGGTGGAAGCTTTTGGTTTGCCTCCAAGACCCGGAAGCAGCTTCGCTCAAAAAAGCGCACCCCGTAGCGGCAAACCAAGAATCTGGACTCTTAGCTGAGCGGAAGTGGGCAGCCAACCAATCCCAAGGCCGGCGATTTTGGCCGCCACTTTGCTCACCTTCGGGAAATGCCTGAAGGATAAGGGCGTGTCCCATTTTAGGATTTGGACCCCAAAAGGGTTGTTTTCGTTAAAGCCACCAAAAAGGGGTACCAATTCCCAGAATCCAAAATGGGTTGTTGTCCCTTTGGGTTTTGTTTACAGCCACCAAAAAGGGGGGGGTGCCAACACACCCATGTGGGCTTCCATGGGTTCAAAAGCTAGCTTTCTCGAACTCTTCGGTTTGCCAGGCCTGCCCAAAGCGAATCGACTGGAATTGAGTCACCCCGGGGTTAGTTCGACTTCGGGTTCCCAAAAGGCAACGGGAAACTGTTCTCCTGCCACAAGGGGTGGTTTGGGTCAAGCCACAAGGGTTGCGGTCAAGCGAGTGAAGCTCTATGAGTCCACAGACACGCAATCGACAAGAAGGAGGCTCAGGACTTGCCAAATGGGTGTGGGTCATAATTGCACCACCAGAAAAACCGCAGGTTTTAGGCTGTTCCAGTAAACAAGGGCCAGCCATTTTGGGTACCCATTTCTGACCCACAGCCAAATGGTTCCAGGATAGGGCCTTTTGGTCGCCAGGCCAACTCAGGTGCCATTCGAGGTGCAAAGGGACCCAAGGAGTGTAATTGGAGTGTATATGGAGTCTGACCCTTTCAAAACATGGTTGGACATTTACTCATGATGTCCGGGAGTCCCTGTTTTGAAAGGGTCAGGTCCGGAGACTCTGGTTTGGATGCAGTTTCCTGACAAACCCTCTTTCAGGTTCCATGCTTGACAGGGTTCCTCTTCGGATGCATTTTGGCCATGAGACAAGCAGAGACTCTCAGCACAAATGCCCTTTTGCGGGTGTGTTCAGGTGGATGATCTTTCTGGGCATGGTGGAAAGCTTGGCAGGACACATGTTTGTGAGTGGCCGGGTCAGGAACCCCCCTCAGTGACAAAGTAATCGGGATAGCATCACGGATTTCGGGCGATTATCTGGGAGAAGTAAAGGTACATGGGTGGCTCGCCCTTTTTGGAGTTTGTTTGCCTTGTGTTTTGAGGGAAACTGAAAGGAATTTTGAGGATCCGGTCCGATTAAAGGGAGCCACCCCCCTGGCCAGGAGTGTGCCGTTTTATGGCTCTGCCGAGCAGCTTTCTGCGTCTCGGCCTCTAGACAATGGGCCCCTTCCCTTTCATGGAATTGCCCCAAGGACCTGAACGTACTTGATTTTCCCAGGGGGATGGGTGATGGTGTAAGGTCTTCCTTGGAATGACACAAATGGGGCCCATGGGCGTGTCGTTCGTCATGAAAAGTATGTCACACGTGGCTGGACATAAATCCTAATGATGTCCACAGGTCCCCCGTTTCTTGAACACCACATCGTACTCTTTCATGGATCTCTGGCCCTTTTTCATGATTTCTGGCACTCATCTCTGGCGCAAACCATTCAGCAGTTCTTTTCCTCATTTCCCCCACTCGCTTATTTCAAGCCTTGCCTTTCGGCGCGGGTTTGAGGCCCGAAAAAACGGGCCAGGAGCACACCCGTACTGTTCGGGGCCTTTTTTCTCACGGCCCCTGTGTGCATTCCGTTTTTTTTTGGAACTAAGCAGTAGGTTCTATTCCTATCTTGATGGGCTATGGTAAGGGCAACAAATACACACTTAAGCTAAACCAAAAGATAAACCAATGGTAAGGGCTATAACAAATACAATAAGCAACTTTTAAGCTAAACCAAGGGTAAGGGCATTTTCAAATTATACAATTATAGCCATTTTGATAGAACCAGCAGTCCATGAATTGGTTTTGGGCGCTTTTTTGGCAGAGGCTACGCAATTCCTCGACCCGTGGGCCAATACTTCGTCATCACATTGCGCACAGGGGAGGCAGACGAAATGCTTGCAAATTTTCTTCGACTGAACTGTGTGTGGGTGTGTGTGTGTGTGTGTGTCGTTTTCTTGAGGGTACCTTGGGCTCATGGTAAATGACAAAATGGACGCCACCCAATTTGGGGGTCCAAATCCAATTTTATGACACACCCAGCCTTTGTTGCCCGTTGGGTCTAAGCCTGGCCTAAAGTGGCTGTTGGTTTCCCCTGCTCAAGGGTCATCCAAGGGCCTGGCGCAGTGCCGACTTCCTTTTTTTCCTGGGGCCCCGCTTTTTTCAGGACGGAGGCGGTTTGCACAGCACCCGGGTTTCCAAACCCATTGTCCACTCCCCTCCCGGTGGCAAATCCGATGCCATTGGCCTTGGCTGTGAATTCATTGGAATTCATGCCAGATCATAAGCCAGGAAGAACACAACCTTTGCTCTCCTAGATCCGGGGACCGATCAGCTCAAAAGGATGTGTGTCATATGCCCGTTATACTGAAGTTACCAATGACAGGGGTTTGGGGTATAGAACCTTGGGCAAAATAGCCAATGTTTAACCGTCAAAGGGAAACCACAAGGGGATGGGTAATCTGCGAAACACAACTCCAAACTCCTCTGCACAGCACCCAACCTTCAACCACGGGCCCCACTGGCCCCCTCCCCCACTGGCCCCCCCCCACCCACTGGCCGCCCCCCCCCCACTGGCCCACTGCCCGAGTGGCCGGAGCCGGGCGGCATTTTCTTGAGAGGCCCCAACTGCCGTGCCTTCGTGGAGCTCCAGGAGGGATCCTGGGACGGAGTCTGTTGGCCCGTTATTTTTTGGTTTTGAAAGTGGTGGTTCGGGCCCTCAAACGTGGTTGATCCCCCCAAGCTTTTTTTCAACATCATGAAGGTGGTGAAAGGGCAAGTTTTGATGCGTGGGTGGTAGATACCGCTGTTTTCTTGGTGGTTTTGGGGCTAAACCTCTACAACAATGTGAGTAGAAGCAAGAGTCAATAGCTTTCGGGCGCTGCTCAGTTGGGTGTGGTTAGTCACCCTACCCGCCTAGGCCTTCTGGTCAGAAGGTCCAGGTAGTGAGGTTGAGCTTTGGAACTTGGTGTAACCTTCAACGTGTTTTCAGCGGGGTTCGCCCTGCAACAGAATGAGTGCGAAATTTCACCAATCAATTGTAGCTGTGTGGTTACTGACAAAACCAGCACGCAAAAATTTGAGAGTCAGCGACCCTTTCACAATTGGGTCTCCCAGTGGTCAAAGGGCAGCGAGTCGAAGCGCCCCAAAGGCAGCAGGACTACACATTTTGGAATCCGGGGTTCCCACCTTTGAGACGGCAACAGAAAAAAGCAAGTGTTCTTTGGAGGAAGCTTCTGCAAGTTTGCAGGGGACCAGGGAATCGACCTCTTCATTTCCCAGAGGTATTACGCCAGGGGCGCCACTAAAAGGTACCGGGTGTTTACCCACCCGCATGTCCGAGTGGCTTCCACCCCTGAAGTTGAAGGCCCCCTTGCGCTCACGCGCATCACGTCAGAGCTGCACGCACGCTGGCGCATGATAGGCGCGGCCTGTACGTGCATCACGCCAGAGCTGCACGCACGCTGGCGCATGAGAAGCACGGCCTGTCACGTGCATCACGTTCGAGCTGCACCCTCGTCGACACCTGATAGGCACACCGGCCCACACGCATCACGTCAGGGCTGCACGTGCGTTGGCACATGATAAGCACACCCGCTCACGCGCACCACGTCAGAGCTTGCACTCTGGCGCGTGATGAGCGCACGCGCTCGCGCGCATCACGTTAGAGCTGCACACACACGCTGGCACATGATACGCACACCCGGTCACGCGCATGACGTCAGAGCTGCGCGCACGCTGGCACATGATATGCACACCTGCTAGCCAAAGGAAGTTTATTTGGAACTTCCGTGTTACGAATACTAATTGAAGGTAGCTTGCGCAAAGATGAGATATAGGAAGAATAGATGCATGCGAGAAAGCATGCGTGCGCATGTAGCGCGGGAATAGAAATCACGAAAAAGAGCAACCCTCTGCGGGTTTTGGCTTCTCCGGCTGGCTGAAAGCTACCCCGGTTGCGACGCCTGTCCGACGACGGTCTCGGAGCGGGTTCGGAACGGTCTCGGAGCAGGGTCCACTAACGGCAACACGGAGGTTTCGCAGGGTTTGAATTTCCTGGCAGGCGCAGCATTTTGGCAAGGTCGGGTACAGATTTCGTGGCAGGCGCAGCACTTTGGCAAGCTCAAGGGCAGATTTCGTGGCAGGCGCGGCATGTTCTTGCTTCTGGCACGGACGCATCGCAAATCCCATTGGCACGGACGCGCAAGGCGGCGCATGCAGATTTCGTGGCAGGGGCAGCATTTTCGCAAGGTCAGGTACAGATTTCGTGGCAGGGGCAGCATTTTCGCAAGGTCAAGCACAGATTTCGTGGCAAGGGCAGCATTTTCGCAGGGTCAAGTAAGGTGAGGTACAGATTTCGTGGCAGGCGCAATACTTTCGTGATCGAAGGTACGATTACATTTTTCCAGTTGCAGCTCGAAAATCGCAAAAGTTAAGTACAAAAGTAGTATTCGAAGTACACTTCTCCAGCTGCAGCTTGAAAATGGGAAAAGTCAAGTACAAAAGTAGTTTTCGAAGTAGATATTTTGATGAGGCAAGCTTTAGACAGCCAGATAGGTAGCTACATAATTAGACAGCTAGATAGATTGCTAGACAGAGTGCCAGATAGATAGATGGATAGCTAGATAGAGAGCTAGATAGAGAGATAGAGAGATAGATAGAAAGATAGAAAGATAGAAAGATAGATAGATAGATAGACTAGCTAGACAAGGAAATAGATAGAGAGCTAGATACATAGCTAGATAGATAGATAGATGGATAGACAGGCAGGCAGACAGACAGACAGACAGATAGATAGATTGATAGATAGATAGAGAAGAGAACAGCGCAAAAAAACGCAGCAAAAGAAAGACCGACAGAAAAGACAGAAAATCAAGAACGAAAGGAAAGAAAAAAGGACGGAAAGAAAGAAAGAAAGACAGAAAGAAACAAAGAAAGAACGAAAGAACTAAAGAAAAACGGAAGAAAAAAGAAAGAAAGAAAGAAAGAAAGAAAGAAAGATAGAAAGAAAGAAAGAGAGACAGAAGGAAAGAAAGAAAGAAAGAAAGAAAGAAAGAAAGAAAGAAAGAAAGAAAGAAAGAAAGAAAGAAAGAAAGACAGAAAGAAAGAAAGAAAGAAAGAAAGAAAGAAAGAATGAAAGAAAGAAATAAAGAAAAACGGAAGAAAGGAAGAAAAAAAGAAAGAAAGAAAGAAAGAATGAAAGAAAGACAGAAAGAAAGAGAATAAAGACAGAGAGAAAGAAAGAACGAAAGAAAGAAAGAAATACAGAAAGAAAGGAAAGAAAGAAAGAAAGACAGAAAGAAAGCAAGAAAGCAAGAAAGCAAGAAAGGCAATAGGGATACTTTAATAATAAGCATCAGTGTGCCTTCATAATAAGCATCAGTGTGCCACAGTCTTGTGCATCAGGCCCTGCCAGCGGGGCCCGCCGCCTGCCAGCGGGGCCGGCTATGCGCATAAGTAATATAATTACGAGCTTGCCGCTACAGGCGGCTCTTAGGTAATACTGATAGACAACTGAATAATAGCTAATAGTGATAGGTAACTGAATGATAACTAAGCGCCTGTGTGCTGCAGCTCCCGGGCATTGTGCCCTGCCAGCAAGGCCACCGCCGTGCGCTTGCAGCAACGAGCCCAGCGCCAACATGCGTGCCGCTTCAGGCCGCAGTGTTTGGCGCCGCCACGCAGCGATGGCATTGGGAAAAACACGAGCGCGAGGGAAGCACTGGGGTCAGAAACAGGGAGTGAGCTGGTTGCCAACAACAAACAAAGGGATCAGAAACAGGGACGCAAAGGAGACAGAAAAGAAAGAAGTTTGAGCTGTTTGCCAACAAACACAACACAAAGTCGTTCCTATAGTTGTATACTGTTTTGAAACTTCCGCCTCCCGGCTTCGCCGGCTATACTGGTAGCATGTGTGCTGACTTGGTCCAAAACTGCACATGCCGACCTGAGATTCAGTTGGCGTGAGTTAGTTGCCGGGATGTCCCACAACCCCGCATACTTTCAAACTGCCTGAGAATAGACACACGATCTCCGAGGACATGCCAAGAATGCAGCGGGTGACTACGTACCCGGCACACACTAAAAGCCCCCATCGGCTTTTTCAGCCCAGAGGGAAAATATTTTGGGCCGGATCTTTGAACTGATCTTTAAGCTAAAGAACGCGTTTTTTGCTTTTTACTTGTGCAACTTGCCGTTTTTGTCCGGCCGGAGACTCTTGCAACCTGAAAATCGGTTTCGCTGGCGACCCAAAAAGATGCGCTCGTGCCAGGACTGAGTCACGGAAGCGGAGAAGACAGATTGGTCTCACAACGCAGTCAGTCTGCTTCCAAAATGTCACCTGCATTTGACAGGACATTCCCATGCAACCACTTTCCACGCAAGGTTCGAGCCGAAACTCAACCACCTTAGTGGCAAACACAAGCTTCTGAGAAAGTCAGACCATCTGGGATGATCAACTTGGGGGACTGTTTGGATTTCAAGGGGCGAAACCAAAGACAGTTTCTCATTTCCCAAATGTCCACTATGAGTGACAGCAGAAATTTTGACCGGGGCTCACTTGCTTTTGGCTGATGAGGATGCCTGAAACATTGCAAGTAGACCAGCCACTCATCAATGACAAACTGTGCCAACCCGGATCAATAGCACCCTTGATTCTCTTCCTTGTGTGGGTTTGCCTTCAGAAGCAAGCGAAGCAGGTGAAATCCAAGTTTCTCTTCCTCCGCAAGGGTCTTTGCTAGCAACCCGGATAGAAGACCCACCAGTTTTGCATCCGGAAGACTTGCGCTTCTTGCCATTGCGAGTTGTGGAAAGTGCACCGAGCTCGGCGCGATCGGATGTGAGCCGGCCGAAGCCGAACACCTCCGCCTCCGCGGCCGGCGCGGTTGCCGAAAGCGGGACTCGCTCCCTTTGGCTTTGGGGCCGTGTGTCAGAGCTGGTGAGGTATGTGTCAAAACGTGATGATTTCAAAACGTGACCCCAAAATGTGGGTGGGCGGGGGGGCTCAACAGGTGATCCAATTGCCCCCTGAAATGAGGAAGGGGGGGAGGTGGAGGGATTTCAGGAAAGGACCGCATGTGTTTTGTTGTTCGCCGGGCTTGCAGATCTGGTTGTTTTCTTCCCCGATCTTTTTGTGTCCCTTACTTGGTGGGACGGGAAACCAGACCAATCCACACCTCCAGACCAATCCACACCACCAATTGGAAGCTGATTCCTTTTAAACAAAGGGTCGCGTGCTTGTTGTTTTTGTTTTTTCAGATGGCCACAGTGGTATCCCCACACCTTGTTGAGGGAAGCCCTTTTTTGGTTCTGAATCATCAGGTAATCCCAAGCAACTTTTTCAAGAGGCAGATTTGGCACACCCATAGGAACCATAGGAACCGGTTCCTATGGGTGTGTCAATTCTTTTCAAGCCTCCCTTTTTGAGTTTGTTGGTTGATGCCATGCTATAAAATTCGCTGTCCAGGTTGCCATGGAACCTGACTGGAGGGTCCTGGAAGACCATTCTCGTTTTGAAAATGGACCCTCTGGTATGTTCCATCATGGTGGCTGGGGGGGAGGGGGGAGGGGGAGGGAGCCCAAACACGCCCTAAATAAGGCCTTATTAAGGGCTTGATACGGGCTTATTTGGGCTCCCACCCCCTCCCCTCCCTCCCCCCCAGCCCCCATGACGCCATGGTATTTGTGCATGGTCTATGGTTGGAAGCCTGGCAACGACAGGAGTCCAAAGGCAAAAGGGCCATGGAGGTTTCAGGTCGCTACTTTTTGCGGCCAAAGGTGGGGAGGTTCGCGGCGGCTTCCAAGAGCCTTTTAGTTGGGGGGCATGCTGTGATCATTGTCCTCCTTTGTGGTGGTTCTGGTCGAAAAATAGTCTGGGTTTCGATTCCTGCTTTACCTGGTGGTTTCATCATCCAGGGCCATCTATGAGCCCAAAAAGGACGCCTAGGTCTGTGTTGGCCCCAGAATCAACCAACCAGTTTATTGAACTCGGGGTCCCGGTGTCCCTTTTGGGTGAACTGTGGTTCCCATCAGACCGTCTTTTGGAGGGGCCCAAACCACCCCCGAGTTTCATAAACTGGGGTTTGATTCATACGGGGTCAACACGACATATTCTGTTTCAGAATCACGGGGATAGCTTCTCACTTCCTGGAGTGGAATCGGCGATCAACACCCAGCGCTTCAAAACGTGAAGGATCCTTACCTACAGCCCTCCGAAGTAAAGCCGCTTTCCAACGAAGGGTTTGGATCCAGTTTGGCACCTACGAATTTTGGCGGGGGCAGAACCAAATTCGCATCAATCCGTAGACGGTCCGGTCATTTGGAGCTACATGTGCCAAAGCACACGGATTGCCAATACAGGAAGGATCCAGCTTTCGAGGGCTTACCACAAAAGCCAGCAGCTGGCCCAAATTTTTCCCGGGGATTTTTTGCCCTTGGGGATGTGTGAGGTGGACCAAAATCCGATGATTTCATGGTGCTTCGCCAGGCAGAACTGCCTGTTTTTGTGAAGCCCTGTTGTGAGGGTGAGGAGCTATGGTTCCAACACATCGGCCCCTTCGTGGCTTGACCAGTGCCCCAAAGCCGCAAGTTCGGAGCCCCGAACTTGTGCCGCCGCCCTGGTTGTGCCTGACACGGGGCGGCGAGGGAGGTTGAGAAGAAAGCGAAAGAAGTGCGTCCGAAGTTGCGGGGCGCAGTCTCCTTGTAGTGCATGCTTCTTTCGCCGACCCGAAACAGAACCCATTTCGGGCGCTGCAAGCGCTCTACGAGCTACCCTCCCTCCCACTGCTTTGAAGACGAATTCCCACTTCTGGAGTTCGAAAGTTGATCCAACATGCTGAGAGCTAACTTTTGCTTGTCGATGTATAGGACCTCTGGGAGAGGATTCTGCAGTTCTACGGTACAACTTACGGTTTCCTTTGGCGACTTCTCCACCCTTTGCTTCGAGGTTCTGTGAGACTTCAAGGCCATGGGGGGGAGAGAGTATGTAGCATAGGCCCCTTGGGCATCGTCAAATGGAACCTCCAAACCCCGGGGGTTTGGGGGGCCTGCGATGCAGTTCCGGCGGCGGTCGCTCCGCCCCTTTGAGGCACGCCTGGATGGCCAAGTTGCAGCTTGTTCAGCCACTGTCGCTGTTTTTTGGGGTGAAAAGTGCATGGAGAGAAGACAAAGGCGATCGCAGCTGGCGATCCAGGCGGCCTTCTTTTTCGCTTTTTTCTGCGTGGCACATCCTTTCAGAGAGAGCTCTCGGGGTTAAAGGCGGCCCCCATGAGGATCTTTTGCCTGATGGCCAGGGGCTTCGTTTTCCCGAAGAAGGGCTTCCCCGATAGAGAAGGACAGATGCAACCTTCAATATGAGCACCATGCACCTAACCGGAAAAGGCCAGGGCGAGCCATTTTTCAGCCTTGGTTCAAAGCGCTTTTCCCCAAGGGTTGGTTTCAGACTACTTTGAAAAGGGAAAAAGTTCGGGCGCACGTACACACCACCCCTCAAAGACATTGGCCCCGAGGCCCCGTTTTGGACCTCGCGAAACTCGGCTTCCACCCAAGAGGGCTGACCCTTCTCAACACCCCCTAAGTGGGTCTGTTTTTTCGGGGGGGGTACGCATTTTTGGGGCTTTGAAAAGAGAAAGGAGCACCGAAGCCTCTTCTTTGAGGCCAGATCCTCCGGCCGCTTTTGGGTTTGGCAAAAAAGCGCGTTTGAGTGGGTGGCAAGACACTGTTTCACCATGACAAGTTTCTGGAAAGGTGAAGGGTGTCCGATCCTTTCCGGTTGAAGTGGACTTGGGATAGGACAGACAGCACATCGACCCTGGCTCTGAAAGTTGCCACGCAGAATCGGACAGTGACGGCGACGAACAAGGCCCTGCTTGGGAGAGGTCTCCGACCATCGTGTTTCCAGGATTTGTTTTTCGGGTGGCAACCCAGAGCCACGTCTTTTTTCCTGTTTTGATGCCAAAAGTTCTAAGATCAGCTCGCCAACTTGGGTCGTTTGGATTGGTTTGGATTTGGATTTGAAGCCTCGGCTCCAAACCGCCGGGCCCCGAACACCAGCCGATTTTTCAACCCGCACGAAGGGTTGTACGCCCCTGGGAAGTTTGGGTGGGCCATGCCCCCAAGTTCGTGGGACCCTTTTCCCCCCCCCCCCCCCAAAAAAAAAATGGATCTCGGTTGATTTCAGGTTGGCTCCCTAGGCCACCAAAAGAAGAAACTGGGCCATTTGGTTAGATCATTTGGGGAGCTACATGTTGGTTACCTTTTGGGTTCCCTTACAGTGAGACCCTCTCCTGGCAGGTGTTCGGGCGAGCGTTTGCTGGTTTGGGGGAACTCCAGATTGAACCAAACCGCACCTGATGCACTCAAAATCACGGAGCCATGGCTACGCGAAGCCGAAATCCTTCCGAGCTAAGAATTTGGATCTGCTGACTCTTTAAGAAAAATAGTTGTAACACCAAAATATGGGGTAGATGATCCCCCCCATGTTTTTCCGGGGTCACGGAGACTCCAGGTACTTTTTCATTCAGCTGCTCCCCCTATTCAACCTCACTAATGGGTCGAAGCGAAGCGTTTTGCTGCCATGGCTGCAGGGACAACCCATAGGTTCTGGCCTGATTCCGATTGCGACTTTCCAAATATGTGGCACAACTCAAACATTTTCTTGGCGCGACCCTTGTCAGTTCTCTTTTGTTTTCCGCAGCAGCCCCCGGTTTCTTGAATCCCCAACGGTTAGACTTGCGGCCGTGCAAATCTACCGGTACCAGGTCCCATGCCGCGCTAAGAAAACCGCCCCTCTGCCCCCCGAGTTTTTCAGGGGTCACGCTTGGGTGTTCCAGAGAATACGAAGACATACTTCACCCGTCAGGTTTGGAGCCGAGGAACGGGAACTTTGGATTGAGCCTTTCGGCTTGAAATGGGACGCCCCTTTTTGGGATCCCCCCTATGAATCAACCAGGGGTTTATGAAAAACACAGGGCTGGTATTCCATGAAATCGGCTTCCTTGGACGTTCCCCGAAATATCGCCAGCGCCGAGGAAGACCCTCGGACGCGACGAAATCCGTACGCATGCCATCCGTCTTTTGCGGATGTGGCCACTGGCGTGACCTGCGTGGTTTGTTCTGGATGTTCCATTGGCGGACAAAAAGTTTGAACATACGACCAGTGACATTATCTTATATTTCGTTTTGTCCCCCCGGAAAAAATGAGGACATACGTCCGGTGATGGATTTCGTCCCATGGTGTTTCAGGTTGGGGATGTGTGGGTTGGTTGAAATACTTGCGTCTGGGAAAAATGAGGACATGTGTCCAGTGATAGATCCCCATTAAAGCCAGGGGGAAAAACAAAACATATACATTTCAGCGAAGGGAAGTAGTTGGTTTGACCTATGAGCTTGAACTTGCTA